TATGTTTCCTAGTAGTAGTGCTTTAGATTTTAGTCAGAAGCCTGCGAATATGTCTGTTATAGATGTTGCAAGATGATATGTGTAAATGTAAATGTAAACTTGTCGAACAAAAAACACAATTCGGCTTGATTTTTTATTTTGGCCTGCCTTATAGACAAAGGAGTGCAACCTTTTAATTACAATGTGAAAATTGGCTAATCTACTGTGATCAAGAGCCATTATTGCTATCGTTTGGGTGTGCATATAAGGCTATTAACTCGATGTCACATTTGTTTGACTCTAGGACTGTTTGCAAATTATTTTTCTTTAAAATCGTTTAGCCTTTCCCGCAAAAGTCACATGAATATGTTTGATTTAAATTCTAAATTTATTAATGAGAGCTTTGCTTTTAACCCTGACTAAATCTATATATTAGTACGGTTTCATGCCATAAACTACTTATTCACCACTAGTTGAAAACATTTTTCGTAACTATATGGTCAGACTACAACTAACTCGCTATAAAAAGATACATCCAGGCGGTGTACTTTTTAACCTAGAATTATTTATATTATTTTGTGAGCTGGGTTGTTTTCATATTTAAGCCAAGTTTAATGAATTAAGGTTCAAGACAAATAAAAGGATTTTCTATGTAACTTAACATCACCTGAGACCCAAATACATCAGTGTTCACTAATTATAAAATCTGTCAACTAGTGTTGTATTCGAAATGGATTGCTTTTTAAGGGTTCAAAACTTTCTCAAGATAATCAGTTTACTTGACCAATATTTAGTCTGATGATTCCCTCAAGAAGACGGATTACCTTGTAATTTTCTCTTGTAAAATTTGGTCTGTCAAAAGTCCGTACCTAAACTTATTTAACTCTCAGATTGACTTGTATGTTTACCCATTAACCAATGCTCTTCTCAGTAATATTAAGTCTCTTAAATTAATAATGACCTCGAGCGCCACCCTGTGGTGGGACGTGCTAATTGCAGCGCCCATGTTGAATGTGCAGATAACAGGCCTTACTGTCTCTGATTTCACCTATTCTCATGCTTATGACTTTTTTACTAATCACTAGAAAGAAATGTTGGTCATAATTAAGGGATATTCAATTCCTCACCACCTCAATGTAGCATTGCAGCTTCTCGATTTTCACGACAGCTTTGAAAAATCAAGTTAGCGCAAATGCGTTGTTTACGTATCTTTGTAAAATGTTTAAATTTCCTCGGAATATTTCTTAATGTTTCTCAAGGGAAATATTTGCAAGAATACCTTCAATCTGATTTTGAGAACCGAGCACAATTTGTTGAGCATTTGAGTAGCTTCCTAAACAAAGAAACCATTGCTTTCGTTCATGTCTTCGACTCAATGGCTTGTGTCCACCAATGCATCAGTCATTCGTTGTGCTACTCTGTCAATTTTGCTATTCATCCGGAAGACCAAGGACATCGTTGCGAATTGCTGCCGACAGACAAGTACAGATATCCCTATAACTTTGAGAAAAACGTCTCCTACCGCCATTATAGTATTGTGGTACGTACGTCATGTAGTAATTATTGTGTTTTTATGATCCTGTCACGACTTTGGTACAGTAATACAGTATTTTTTTGAAGCAAGTTAATTTTTAATATTTAGTCCGACGTTGCTGGCCACTAAGTTAGGTAGGTAGGTTGACAGGTAGGTAGGTATAGTTAGCAACCACAAAAGAATCCGAACAGATCAAACATTTTTAGAGGATAAAAAATATGCCTATATCTACCGTTTAAAAACTAAAATACGTTTAACAATGCTATTTTTAAGTGGCTTTAAACTATATTCTCGTTGGGTGCCCCTGAACTTTTTGCACATGGTTCAAAGAGACTTTCTCAGTCGATTGACAAATTAGATATAGAATACTATTCTCATCCAAATAAATAGCTTTGAAAAGAGAAAAAGCGCTCTCGATTTAATCATAATGAAAACACTTTACGGAAGCTCCAGAGTTGTAAATCGCGCTAATGCATTTAGAGTAAAATGTCACTTCAACGGTCACCATGGGAACGGAGCCGGATAGTAACCGTTGAATGCCCGTTGTTAGACAACTGGAATTTGAAGAAAAGCGTTGTTTTGTCTAGTTTTGCCACTTCAATTTTTCCTTTTTTTTTTCTGTCCGTAAAATGTTTTTGCGAGCAACAGTTTAACGGGAGATGACTTTCCTTAACTTTATTTTTACCGTAATCATAGCCTTTCCTGTTATTTAAAGAAGCCGTGTCACGAAATTCAGCCAAATTAGGTAATTACAAAATGCCCATTAACTTAAGCGAAACGTTAAAATAACCGCTTAAGACATTAAAGGAAGGTTAATGTAACACAACAGATACAACAGATGACACGGATGGGCAAAACTGAAGAAGATTTAAACGGATTGAAATTAGGGTTTTTGAAAACTGTTCAGCCTAACAGTTTTTCAAAGTTGATCTCTGCTGTTTGCAACTTCAAAAATAATGCTCAGGAGACATATTTAATTGTCTCGAATCTCTGCTTGTATCATTTACAAGTAATTTCTTTGCTTACTTTAAGTTCCGTAGCGATTGAGGGCAAGTAACTGGCAAAATTAAGCAAAATGAACTGGACCGCGGCCGTGACACAGCCCCTTTAATTCGCAGTTGTTTGCGATAGGAAAATTCACTGTTTCGGTGCCGTAGTTGTCCCTTTCGTTAATGGTCGCTGCCTTTTTTAAGACACTTAGAAACTTTTGACCCGTTATTTAGAGTTTGTTTTTTTTTAATTTTTTTATTAAAAAGAAAAGAAAGTCGCAACTCAGGGTCAAACTCGGACCTTTTGTATCCTAATCTCCCTCCCTTTTTACCACTACACCACCACGTACACGTCGACCTGCCTAAATTCCGAAAAATTTTAGTAAATAAACTAGCAAACTGTCTTTCTTAACTGATACGGGAATATATTACACATCTATAGCGACTAAAACCAATGGCGGCAATGACCGTTAAAAATCAGTGGCGACGAACGTGTACGAAAGGGAAATAGGTTTCGGCGCCCGCCCTCAAAGTAGGATAACGGTTGTTCCCTTGCAATGGATCGGAAACATAGTTCATTGACATTCAATTTAAATTCACTTTTGATAAAACTCAGGTTTAGGAATTTATTGATAAAATCTTTCAAGCTAAAGATAGTTCGTTAATATGAAATTGTTTGTCGAAACTGCAGGCTAGCAATAGAGTCATTTAGAGAAAGTTCAGCACTTCCAAATTTCTGATCATGAATGGTCTAAATCCACGATTCAATATTCGATCTTATCTTCAATCCCGAATTCCAATTTATGTAGAGTTGTCCGCCAACCTCAAATGAGTCTTGTGTAATTATCTATATCCCGTTCAAACGTGCTGCCATTTTAATCTTCTATATTTTTTTCAATTTTGGTCTTCAATTCAGAGCCCATGCGATGATATCCGTTGTAAAAATGGTGCCAAATGTCTGCCCCTTTACAATTGGAGTGGTTATCATTGTAAAAGGCGTGGCAGAATAATTGAAGAAGGTAAGATCGACCACTTAAATGTCAATTTGGCTAAGTCAGTATTCAATGGCCATACATTCTGAAGTAACCACTTTTCTTGTTTCTCTTCGATTCTTTTCTGGCTTCAGCTGTTCCTTGGTTAAAGGTCAGTGATGAAAGGATCTGTTTCGGAGCCAAAGACGACTCTTACGGGATGTTCACAATACCCTGGGATGGAGCTGTCATATCCATAAAACTCGTTTACATCTCCGGTTATGTTACTTGTCAAAAAAATAGAGCCCCGTTTGGAAGCCACTGGGGGTGCGACGATCTATTCACATTGCTAACCTACATTACAAACAATCGTAACGAAGTAATCTTCCCCGACAGAGATGGTGCGGCGTATACTTTACCAGATTACCACGCTAATTCCCCTGAACTAGTGTTTCGCGCTCTCCGTGAACCTGAGAAAGTGCGCGCTGGTGTGGAGTTCCGAATCTGGTACAGACAGGATCGACTCGATTCTTCCGAGGACAATAACGCCGGGCAAACTTGCTCTGAGGTGTATGTATTGATGTCCTAAAGCAATTAGAGACCATTAGATTCTAAGACGAGGACGATGAAAGATTTTCTCAAGAAAACTCACGACCATCTATCATCGTCTCAGACTCCCGGGAGGGGAGGGTGGGGGGCACTAACATCCGGGCTTATTTAGCTGACCCTCCTGAATACGAACATCAAGGAATATAGCCAATTTAAAATATGGTCCTTAGAACTGCCCCTATTATCATTGATGCTAGAGATAAATGGAATTTCTTTAAGACCAACCGAAGAGTTTGATGCTAGAACTGGTGTCCGTGGTGTCCGTATTATGGACAACTATCTTTCATCCTTAATCTCTGTTATTCTATATATATGATAAATTACCTGTAACGTAACTCTCAAGTAACTTGTTTGTAAATGCAAAGGTTTTTTTAGCAGCTGTTTTGATAAGGTAGATTGGCCAGGGTAGGGCTATATATGGACACGCTGAAGTATTGAGGACTGACTTTTCGTCAGAGCGGTTCATAGAATCTTCAGCAAATTCAGCAAATTTTTCGCAGAGAGGATTCGCTCTAAATGAGGCTTCCACTTCCCTGTATCACATACCTATATCGCCGGCTCAAGATGTACTACCTATAGAAATCAAGTAAACGGTCGACCAGTTAGTGATTTTTTCATTATTATTATTATTTAAACCATGGGCTTAAGTTTTTCGGTTATTGTTAGTACTCGACAGGAATTCCGGTTTTACGCTTGGTTTAATTGATATATTTATTTAGAAAATTAAACAAGTGTTAATATGTTAACATCTTTCCTATGTTACAAGTTGTATTTTATTGCTCAAAATGTGTGGGGAGTTATATAAGCATGAGAACAGACAATACAAGGAAAGAACAAAAAAATGTGTCCTTGGCAAATCTCTTGAACTTTTATTGTATAAGTAGCGCGCATGCGTCAAAAGAAATATCGCCTGTGAAGTTAGTTGTACAAAGCATACACATCAGTACACGTATTACCAGCATTATCATTTTCATTCTGATTTCGATAATCCTCGTGGTACCAAATTCTGAACTCTTCACCCCCGTCCACCATCTGCGGAGATAAATGATAAATCAGTCTTGACGAGTTACAGTGGTAGCTTGGTAGCGTGAAAGACGTGTTCTTGTAATTATGAGGGAAAATTACTTTGTTTTCACCGTTAGTGATTATTGTTCCGATTCTCTCTCGGTTATTACATGCCCAGTGGCTGCCATACGGTAAGTTCTTTGAGTTGCACGTGACATATCCGGACTTGTAAACAAGCTTAAATGTTAAGATGGTCCCATTGTGTAGTACGTTGAAGCTGCCGAATGAATCATTCTTGGCACCAAAACACACTCTCTCGTTATTCATTTTAAACCAAGGGGCAGCTGAAAAAAAAAAAAAACGAAAATTACTGTCACATTAAGTGCTTCAACCAAGAAAAAATATTGAATAGACCATTATGAAGTCGTAAATTTTGTATCCTTGCCTTTGAGTGAACGTGAGGCTGAGGTTGACCTTGTTTTGATACAAACCTCTTTCCTTTTCTTATGAAAATTATGCTTGAAAAATAATAGTTAGCATGAGAACAAAATGATTCACACAATAAAGAAGGAAGGGTTGTATCAAAACAAGGTCAATACAAGCCTCGTTGTAGACAGTAGGACGTCAAGCGGTATGTGACGAGACCATTTCGTTACAAAAATCGGCAATATTCATTTGACGAATTTGTGACGGTCTTTGGTCAATAAACGAAATTTGATATGATGGGTGTCAAAATTGTGCTGAATAGACTGAATAATGCTTTTGGATATTTCTAATCAACCCTAAACGCCATTCTTAAGGTTTGTTATTATCCAAAACTCTAACTACTGTAAACATGAAGCAAATTCAGTCCAAGAAATGCAAAGAAGATTTTAATCTACTTAAAAGTAGAGTATACAATGATTATCCACTATGTAAGAAACTAAAAAAGCAAACAAACAAACATTATCAAAAACCAACGCCAAAACCAAAACATCGAACAAAACAGCCCAGACTTTCAAAATGTTTAATCTTCCCGGGCACAAAACGACCTGAACTCTCGACTCTGCAGAGACTCTCGATGGATATCCCAATAAAAATACATTCAGTGATACTCGAAAAAAAGAAAGCGCGCGGGGGACGGTGGGAAGAGGGAAAGGCGGGAGCTTCAGTCTCTTTCCCCTTCCCATTGTGCTCCACGCGCTTTCTTTGTCAGTTCATTCTCCCCAGCTTCCCTACGACACCAAGAGGCCTCGGCGGAGGAGAGAGCGACATGAAGATTCAGCGACAGACCTTCAGGACCTTTCTAGTTTTTCTCCTAGTTAAAGTCCACGTGACCGAAAATGAATAAATAAAATAAACACAAGGAGTTTTACATTTGCCACAAATTTGCACCACAATTCATGATTAAATAGTAAAATTTTAACGGTGTCATTCACTCTAGAAAAGATGTCGCCAATAGTTACTATGATCATACCTCTTTTAATTCGACCTTCGACACCTTCGCACAAAAAACCATTCACGTTGTAAAGTGGTCTACATGTGGTGTTGTCTTTACAAGGGTTGTATTCACACGGACTCTAAAAGCAAAAAGATTAAGAAAGGTGTTATTTTCTTTAATCTTTGAACCAAATTGTTGATCTATCCAAAAGCATAAAATTCTCCTTCTAGAAAAATAATAAAAAAATAAATAAATAAATAAAAACAAAATAAAAACAAATGCAAAAATATAGGATCAACAGGAGTTGGGGGCGAGAATGGAATTTCCTAGTAAGTATCATGAAACACCCCACATACGCAAATTAAACAGGGTAACAATATTTTAATAAGTACTTACTATTCTGCTGTAATGATTATGGTACAGAGAACTTGGTTGGAAATTGTTTGGAGAAGTGTACTTGTCCCCCTGCAGCAGTTCACAGTTCTTGCTTCGAGAAAATACAGCAAAGTTAAAGGACAAACAGACGACACGTTTACGGCATTGAAGAGCACACGCCATGCTGTCATGCGCTGAAACGCGGAGAAAGGGCTCCACTTTTAAAGTCCAGTTAGAATGCACTAAAAATGTGGTCTCGCTTTCCTCGTATTTCACGTCTGTTTCACCTTTGTTATCTAGCAAAATTCTCTGCGGCGAGATGTTGACTGAGGAGATCGAAACACAGTAGCATAAAAAGTTTACAAGCTGCAAGTATCGCGACATATTGCCTACTAAGTTTGAGTTATCTTGCGAAAAATGAAGAGCTCTTTTCATAGTTGGCAGTTGACGTCATACAGGAATGAATTAAGGGCGTTTGTTTAAATATTAATTAAAATTAATTGACAGACAACAGATATATAAAAATGATCCTTTCAGATAAACAGTTTTCTTATCGATTTTAAATTTTACAAGCAATATTCACTGCCCGCCGCGTTAGCAGATTAGCCAGTCGAGGCGAGCAGTGGTTACACGTATTTTATATAATAAATAGCTCACAAGCAAGACTAGAGAAAAAGAGCCAAATTTTATAATCTTGTATTTCAGTCATGGTTTATTACATTATTTGCTTTGAAACAATTAATTTGTATCGGATATATTGAGATATTGAACTGTTGATCGCATGTATACTTTGTCTTATTTTAATTCATTGCTCTATGTTATTGATTAACACCATATTGCACAAAATTAAAAGTTTAGCATCAGTACAAATTAATTTCACTAAATAAATATTGAAGTTACAGTAGTTGTCAACGATTTTTGAACCGATTTCCTATTCGCGCCAACTGATTCGCTACTAAAAATTTATACATTAATGCTTGTTAATAATTTGTCATTTTACTCCCCTCTCAGGGCCAAAAGTTGTAAATCATAGAAGGAGAAAGAGGCATGATAACACTTTTCTCCGAATATACTCTTTCCTCAGAAGAGACTTTATTTGTGAAATGTCTCGTGATCAGATTTTTCTTTGCCTTTTAGCCAGCTGACTTTACCAAGACTATATAAGGACACGCATGTTTAAACTTTTCGGACGCTACCAAAGTGGCTCGGACATTGTGATGTTCTCCGCACTACAAAGGAGACGATTTTGTCTCTACTTAAAATTGTGATATTCAAAACTAGGTCTCCACTTCTCAACAGTAAATGTTGACCAAACAAATGCACTGGTGTTAATATATTGTCTAGGGCAGAAGGGAACAGTTTAAACTGTATTTATTGTGGTATTTGCTGCTCTAGCTTGAGGTAAAATGTTACTATAATGAAGTCCATTCGGACCAACAGTGGGATGCATGATGGCCTTACAATAGTCAACGGATATGAAAGTGGGCTTATTTACACTGGGTGAGATCTTGTCAATCAATAAAGAAAAGCAAATCATATGATATCAATGCGGGTTATTCCGTATGTTTCTTTTCTTTTTTTGATGACGAGATTGAGATAACTGGAATTAGTAAAATCCAACTAGTGGTCTATCATCAATGCTGCGTTCTGATTGGTTGAGCTACTACTAGGCTATATGTTATAGCCCACTAGTAGCAACAAGCGCGGGCTTTTTGGCGTCAATATATATAATAATAGTAAATAAATAAATAATAAAAGACTAGACTTGAAGGTTTACAGTCTACGTTGATTAGGTAACATTTTAGTAAATGCTAGCGTTTGCCACCCTTCCCCGTTTGGAGAAACGCGTTTTATGACGTCATCGGCGAAAAAAATGTCACGTGTCATTGGTCATTTCCGCGATGCATTTGTGTCTCTTCGAGTTTGTTATTCAGGATCAATTAAGGGATCGAAAAAAAGATATGCATATAAAACGAAATACACTTTAGTGGGATTGACTCGTCATAGCCAGACCATCAATGAGTGAAGGGGTGAATTTCTGCGGAGAAAAAAAACCATGGCACTGCGTCGTTTGTAGCTTTTTTTTCTTAGTCCGTTGAGCGAAACGTGCCAGACACGAAAATGACCACGGTCGCCCTCGTTTCTCGCATCTCTTGACGCTCGTGCGCGCGCTTACTGCCCACTAAATCTAAAGAAAAAGAGAGACTGATCATAGTATACGACGTTACGGGAGAGATACTGAAAAACGTTTTTTTTTTCAACTGAGAACTTGATAAATCCTAAAGTTTATCACCCTAAAAAGAGTAAAAAGCTGCCGCTTCTTCATCTGGAAGGAAACGCCAGCTTTTTATTAACGTCACTTAACAACACCAAACGTTTGTTTTTCGCATAATTTCATATCTTAGTTAATGCAGGCAGTCTCGTCTTATCCTTTTTGTCAGTTTAAATAACAAAGCTATTATTTTATACCAATAAAAAAATATAATAAACGACTAAAGAAAAAGAGCATGATACATCATCAATTTAACTTTTACTTAAATTTTGTTTGCCATTATATTACAATAAGTCACAAATGTCCATAAATATAAATTGTAGTAATAATAAATTACACATTACACTATATAGTTATTTAATGAACCCTTCTGGAAAAAAAGTTACATACAAATTAACCTAAGCCGCTCTTGTGGGCATGCAAGTCTCATCTTAATACATACCAGTTCCTAGCCTGCGTAGCATGGCGGTTTTGGTTGGGCGCGCTAAGTAATAAAGGCGGGCGAGGGCAGAGAAACCGCGAGGAGACTGGGGCGGGAGCCGGGCTTGACAAAACCGCCATGCTACGCGGGCTCACCAGTTCCCCAAAATTTTACCCTAGATAGAGCCAACAGATGATCTAGTAAAACCAGTACACAGTCAAGAACTACAAGTCATAATGAGCAACAATAAATAAAATGATTGAACGCAAGAACGTGGAGGAAAAAAAAAGGTTGCCTTGATATATTATTCTTTTTATATATGTACTAAATAATAATTCTTGTAGACTTCTTCTTTCCTTATAAACGTCTTGCTTGAAAGGCTGTAACAAGATGTTTTAAGCCGAAACAGTATTGTTACTGTGGGGATACAGGGTCACGGATGCTAAATGATTGTTAGCCATCACCTGGAGAAAACAGTTGAAAGAAGATTGTTAGTTCCTTTGCGCTGAATAAAGTGAACTGGCCCGTATAAACCCTTACATCCGAGGAGGCTTATATCCGAGGGGTCTTATATCCGAGGAGGCCTATATCTGAGGGGGCTTATATCCGAGGGGTCTTATATCTGAGGGGCCTTATATCTAAAGGAGCTTATATCTGAGGGGCGTATATCCAAGGGGCCTTATATCCGAGAGGGCTTATATCTGAGGGGGCTTGAAATCCGAAGGGGCTTATATCTGACGGGGCTTATATCCGAGGGGGCTTATATCTGAGGGGCTTATATCCGAAGGGGCTTATAACCGGAAAATAGAGAAAGCGCTTTGAAAAAAACAAGCTGAAGAGTTATACCAGTGCTGATCAAAACAGGTATTGCATTTGATTTTGCTGGTCTTTAATTAAGCTTCAAAACGTTATCATCATTCAAATTCAAGAAAGGAACAGCTAAAGGTAGAAGGTACGCTTAAGTCCGAGAGGACTTATAATTGGATGAATTTTTGTTTTGTTTACAGGCACACGCGCCCATAACAGTGTTTGGAGGGAAGGGGGTGGGGGGAGGTTAAACGGCAGTTTTGTGGTATTTGCATCAAAACGTAAAATAATTTGATGAAATTTGTCAACTCTCTAATCTGCCTAAAGTTGTTCAGTTACACAGTAGCCACACTTTTACACAACAATGTGTTTTTTATACAACTGGCTAAATCCCTATACTGAAAAAACTCTGGGTTTGGTGTGCTTTTAGAGGCTGAAGCATTGCAACATTCTTACGATATTGTTTCGACTAGTTAAAACATCGTTCCAACATTGGAACGCTGTGTTGCGCTAAGAATCGTCGTTGTGAATCGTCCCAGCATCGACTGGACCGACGAATACAAACCTCAAATATCATGTGTTGCAAATTATAACAAAAGGTGGATCCGAACGGGTTTGTCGTGTTGGTGGAGGAAGATCTGTGGCGAGAACAAAGCATAGGGTCACCAAAGTAGTTACTGTGACATGTATAAACCTATAACTAAACAACCGATTTCGCTTACAACGTTCGGGATATCTAACGCTTTTAATTTGGTGCTTAAATGCCTCAGCGATGGAATGCATTCAAAACATCGAGCAACGTTACATGCGAAAATAAACAAAGGATAACGATAGCTTGGATATAATCAGCTTAGAAAGCGTACAACGTAATGTTGTATTGACCACGACCATGCGCTATAAAATCACTCTTAAGAAAGACAAAGAGTGGTTCATTTTTTCTAGGAGAAAGGGAATCGCCAACACAACAAGACAAGTGGTAATGTGGGTTTTCAATCAGTTATTTTAACAAATTCGGTAATGCTTTACCTGTTACCCTCACATGCCAAGCAAATAGTGTGAATAGTGGGTTAAGTATGTAGTTGGTTCTCTTCCTTGCTCCGAGAGGTTTTTTTCCGGGTACTCCGGTTTTCCCCTCTCCTCAAAAACCAACATTTCCAAATTCCAATTCGGCCAGAAATCAAGTAGACGAAGAGCCACTTTGTGGATGTGCTACCATCAAATCATTATTTATTTATTTATTTATTTATTTATTTATTTATTATTTACATAGTTTAACCCTTTAAGTTCTGCATGAAGTTTCCCCATGTAATATTTGTATCTATGCTTTATAAAACAGAATGGTACTGAGAATTGAGGAGGACATGATCACAGAAGACGAACCTAATTGATACTTCATCAATTTCTCCCAACTGCTGCTATTAAAAACGTATAGGAACAACAAATGAGAATTTGAATATTGATATTAGGATTTTTAAAAGGGTTGAAACTGACTGTAGTTTATTTCCCAACCTCGGGGGCGTCTTCACATGTATATCCAACAAGATTAGTTAAGATAGCTGTATGCAGCGAGTTTAACACTATATCACTTAGTAATATACCTCTACCTTACCTGTTTAACACAACAGGTGCCTCCACTGGTTTGCCCAGATAATCCTGGACACTGTCCCACTGAAAGAGAGAAAAAAATATCGGATATAATAAGATTGAAATAGTGACGATTTCATTCATAAATAATGCATGCATCTTGATGACAGAAAGCTCAAAAATACGAGATTCTGTAACGGAACCTTTACCTTTGTACAGGGAGTCACCACAAACGGTGTTTCGTCACCCAGAACTGCATCTAATAATAGGAACGTAAAACAGAAAACAACACTCAATGATAGCCTGCGAGCAGGCTCACTAGCGCAAATTCGGGGAAAATTTGGCGGCGGAACCGCCATCCAGCGAGCCTAAATCATTGACTAAATATGTTTCCAAGAAGAGTGCGCCCGCTATGTCAGAGGCCTTCACCTCTTTTTCCAAGCGAGTCCTGCAGCCCGTGGTTTAAAGTGAGAAAAAGCTTTCATTCACACACAATTATAACTCGACATAGTGAGCTAACGTGTTGTACTTATCAACCATTTTCACATACATGGTTGTGTATCAGGCCTCTCTTTGATAAAGTGGCTTTTTAAAGCATCTGAGAAATGGGCTAATACATGCTTAAGTTTTCCTTGCGAAAATCTCCACTTTTAAAAGCTGCTTTATCCTTTATCCTTACACATCGGCATAACTTGTTCGCCTACAACTCAATGAAAGGATAGGTATGGGACGTAGTGAAGAGGAAACGTTTGAAGTGCTTTGGTCATGTGCTGCGTATGCAGACAGGACATCACTGTATAACAGCAGTCTAGGACACCAGATGGAAAGCGAAAAGTTGGGCACGCTAGGATCCAGGACGGTAGAAAAGCAGAGTGAACAGACAGGGTGGGAGTAGTGGGAGCGGGCAAAAGCTTGTGCAAGGAATAGGGCAGGTTGTCGGGGAAGAGTGGAGGCCTTGTGCGTGAAGGAGAGCGAAGAGGCGAGGTATGCAGGAAGGTGAGAGCAGTGCCACACTGACTGTTGGGCATCCCCGCGTTATGGGCATCCCCATTCCCAAAACCCTAGTAATATGGGTATCCCCTGTAACCCAAACCCTAACACAAATCGCTAAGATAATAAGAGAAGGGGATGCCCATATCACTGTAACAGCGGCAATATTTCCCAGTGAGACCGTTACCTTTAGAGTCTCTCTGTATCTCAATCTTGAAATCACAGCGTTGGTACCTATGATTAATGAAAGATACATACCCTTTTATTGCTTACAAGAAATGGCTTTAACTTTACCTCAGCGAAGTGCAACATACATGTTTTTACTCACATGTTAAAATTATAATGGCCAGGGAAGTTGGTGTGCAGAATAAATTTCTTCACTTGGTGACTGTAAGCATCAAATAAAATGTCCTGGAGAAGAAAAAATTGATAAATCCTTAGCCTGATAATAATCAGTCGTGGTTATATAGATTGCGGGCTGCGATAATAATTATTAGGGAGCTTAAAGTGATGTTACACGGGACGACTCGCTTCGACGCTTTTTAACGCAACACCGTGTTCCAACATTAACGCGACATTGTTTCCAATGGTCACAACATTGCAAGGCTTTGTTGCGCTAAAAATCTTCGTTGCGAATCGTCCCGTGTAACATCACCTTTAAGCGACAACGACGACGACGGGTAAGAAAACGTCACTTACAAAGTGAAGTCGTGCTGCTTCAAACTACATCGCCCTTATTCCGTCTCGTTCAATTCGTCAAATGCTGGCAATTTTTTTTTTCTGGAGTTGAATTCCAAGACTGTAACGATGATCAGTAAAAGAAAAACGAAGCCGTTGTATTGTGTTCACGTCCTCCACAAAACGTGAACTTTAGACTGCAAAACAGTCCGTATTTTTGCGTATTCAAGTACGCGCGAGACGTAGCCATGAGGTGACGGCAAAGAAATGAACAAAAAAGCGTGATACACGTGCAATGTTGTTTCTTTGCCTATCTAAACCTATTGGTTTTTTGCCGTTCTCGTTGACGTCGCCGTCGTCGTTGCTTAAGCTCCCTATTATGTCCTGTGGCACTGCTGTTTTGTTCATATCACGACAAAAGCGTTCAATAAACTCAACTTTGTTTTCCAAAGTACCCTGTGCATGTCGCACTTCCATAACAGGGAAAAACCGTCATGGTGCAATTAATAATCACTCTGCATATTAGAACAGACTGGCTGTTTTCAAACGTATAACACATCTTCGCAACTGTCACTCATGGTCGCGTCCGACGTTTCTGTGGACTTGTCCAACGCATAACTTATTTTCGTAAGAAGTGCATGTTCAAACGTACAATTTTGAGTTTCTCGCGCGAGAGCACCTTATTTTACAACCGCAACTATCTTGTTTAGTGCAGTGTAATACAAGTGTTATTACGGTGCAGTTTAGCCTGACAAAACAGCCAACACTTCGCAACGCCACTACTGGTTTTCCCGAGAAATGATGTCTGAGAAACGAGCGCAGAAATTCCACACTGATGACCAGACACTACCGGGATTGGTTGAACCACGAGGGAAACTTGCTTCAACCAATCAGAAAACACTACCCAGATCTGGGTTGTGACACGTCATCAGTATGGAATTCCTGCGCTCGTTCCTCAGACGTCAATTCGCGGGCAAACTAGTTGTGGCGTCAATGTTTCAACCGTTTCAACAAGCAACTTCCTTCGGCTCAATTCATTCTCCCGGTTCTATTTTCGTAGTGACATGTACTCAATTACTGCGGGGACAGACGTAATTGTATACCCACCACTCCTAGAGTGAAGAAATTGAAGAAATAATCAGAACTCTTAGACTGAGAGAGTTTGTGTGGGGATGGAGAATGGATGCGCATCTAAAGAGAAATTTAAAAAAAATATGTTATAATATGTCAAGTTCAACTTACGTAGGGAATAATTTATTACTGGCAACACGAAAGGATGCTGAGACTCTACAAACCGATTTGGGTGAGTTTTTCGCCTGGTCCCGGATGTTCAAAAGTTGGATAGCGCTATCCACTGGAAAAATTGCTATCCAATTGATAAGTATTAGGGAAACCAGCTTTAGAATGGATAGTGATTTATCCGGTGGATAGCGTTATCCACCTTTCGAACAATTGGGGCCTAGTCAAGGGATACCCAATCAAGCCACACTACTGATTTACCCAAAGCAACAGGATAATTGTACGATGACATCATTTTGCTACAACTACTATCAGAATGCTGTAGTTTGTTGTTTTCTTTTGCAAATTAAGGCAAAACCGCTGTTGTTTATTATTTCTCAGCGGCATTGACAAAGTTTAAAACGAAAGCAAAATGAAACCAATTCTGGTAGTTGCAGTCAAGTACCATCATCATGAAAATGGCCTATTCCTTTTCCATCCCATATTAGAAGGTGTAGTAGGTGAGTATGCTTACGATACACTCAACAATGAGCCTCATGGTCTCAAACTGAATAAGACGTAGTACCTTATCTTCAGCCTTGTAGAAAACTTTACACGGTGACCCAAGAGAGCTTATCACATCCTAAAGCACAAAAACAGCAAGCATGAGTCAGTATACATGTGTATTGCATCACGTCCCAGAAGCCTGTAATCCTTTCAGTCTTTTTCTTTTCCCAGTTCATGCCCTTTTCCCACTCTTCATGCCATGTAAAACACTAATTACAAATTAAAGGTCAAATCAATTATTCATACCTGACATGAATCCCCAAACATAATAGTTCTCTCAAAAGTTCGTCTCCTTAGTTCTAAGATCTTGCCAGGACCTGTGCCTTTCGAAAAGAGAAAAACAAAATTAAAAGGAGAAATTTCAGTTTTACAAGCACATTATTTTTATAGATAGCCTTGACTTACTTTTCCCTATCACGGTTAGCGACAGAGTGATAGAAAAAGATATGTGCTCTTTGGTGAATACAGGGTATTAAAGGTTTACCACCATGCACTTGCTTAGCAATTCTGGACTACAAGCAGTACCTTTCCAGGACTTCTTCCAGCCTACAGCACCGTAGTCAAGGCTCTGCAGGACTGGAGACAGATAGCCTGTGTACAACTACACCCTCCCCTGAAACAAAATATCCAATTTTGTTTGTGCGGAGGGGGCTGCTGCACACTGAGGCTAGAGTCATTGAACTTTAGCCCAGAAGGGACTGCTGGTGAGATGCTGTTTGGCACATTGACTTGCTTGTAGAATTATAATGTATCCTGAAAAGTAATCGTGGCTTAATCTCTCTGCATGATCTCTCTGATTGATAAATATAGCACTGGGATTATAATTAAGAAGAAATTTGGTAACAATGACTATTGGAACTTAACGGGTTATTAAATAAACAAAGTTTCTATATTGCCTTTCTTTCAACATTGTTCCCTACTCTTTCTCCAAGTCCTACCCTACAATTTTCTGATCCCAATAATGATCTTCATAAACAATAATAAAAAATATATATATTATTTATCTCTTTACCTTCAGCAACAAGAAAACATTTGAGCCCATACACTTTCCCGTCCTTGTTAATGATGTCAATGCTGTCAGCAAAACAGTTGCCATGGAAACACTGCAGAGGCAGTGGAGGTGCTCTATCATAAACCACACCACAAATTATTTTCATCATTGGGCAGTGAACTTGTCAAAAATCTATTAATAAAATTCTGATCACAAAAGTACTTCCCCAAGGTGTAACAATTATTAGTAAGGCGACTCCCAACTCAATGAAAACAGCAACAGCATCAACCAAAGTGAAATTACCTAACAATATATCGATAGGCCAAGGACAAAATAAGGCTTCAAAATGTTTCCCCTTTTGCATGTTTACAATGATGTATTCAGTTAGAGAACTAAGGATAATTTACTAAAACAGGCAACTTTTTTTAGGTGGAGTATTATTATCTGATGACCTTATCACCACAATGTTTACATTACATCAGTAATGGACAGAGACCATTTTGACACTAAAATGGTCATGGAGTACTAGGTCTCAGAAATTTGGTTGGTTCTCTTCTGTTTGTACACATACGTCACAAATGTACAGTGTAGAAGTGGAATAAAAATGGCACCACACCTTGCATCTGTTAAGCTGTTGCCATGGTAAATTGACATCCGTGATACAGTTGGTGATGATCCAGAAGAAAACTTGAGGGATCCTAATCCATGAGTGTAGTATGGCTTTAAGAGAAAAATATTCAGCTAAATCATTAAAAATGAAAGTCAACTCTCTCTTCATATTTTTTTTTTAGCACAGTCTGTATTTAAAGCATGCATGACCACTTTGGAAACAACAAAAAGAGCTTGTGCTTGTTGTGTCATAAAGCATATGCATGATAATTTCCTGCGAGTCTCTCAGAACAATCATAACAGCATTCCTCGAAATACACCCTGCAATACACAAGATGACTATATCCATATGCCCACTTTAATTAAAAGGTAAATTAAATCAGCCAAAAACGTCGAAAAATAAATTATTTGCTAACTCATTTATACTTTTACAGTTTGATATTTGTTTAATTATCTCTTTTCTATTGTGTTGTCTAGCCCTCAACCACATTCCAATTTTTATTTCATTTATTTGTAAACAGTACACTTTCCTTAGTTTTAATAGCATTAATCTTCATTTCATTTTGCATGCACTGTCCCATCTTGAAAAGCCTTGCTATGCATGTATGTAGCTGAGGGCAGTGCTTTTGCTATATTATATGATCTGCTTGGTAATAAAGTTTTGTTGCAGTTGTTGTTATTATCGTTGTTGTTGAATTACAGCGTGAAAATCTATAACTGTCCTCTCCCTCTCTGTTAGTAGAATTAGAACCCCTGGCCGCACCCTATCAATTGCATGTAAATAACATACCTCAAATTTAGAGTCAATGGGAAAGGAAAATGAGAGACCTCTGAAGTTAAGAATAAACAGCTGATGATTGGGATCATAGACTAAAATGAACATCAAAGAAATAATAAATATATCAAGTAAATATATAAAAGAACAAAATGAAAGAAACAAGAATCACTTATCACAATGTTTATTTGCATAAAATAATAATAACAATAACAATAATGGTAAAAAAAACATACTTTATTAACTCTCCTCAAATTGAAAATTAAATAAAAATTTAGTATAACTATAATAGTTAAAAAAGACTTCTTGGTCGTCTGGTGGTTTTCTAATTCAACAGAGCAAATGTAGACAACTGTCTATAAACTAAACTTGATATTAATAATAATAATGATGATAATAACAATAATAATAAAACAAAGTTAACAAAAAGTATCAAGGCCTTACATGAATCTACATTATTTTTACATTGTTTACATTACATATGTATTTGTACCATCTTTTGAGTTAATTCTCAAAAATCTACATTAACCAACTGAATTGAGTTGAACAATAAACTTAATTAAAACTACTTTAGGCACTTGAAATATTGAGAAATTGTATTTAATATACAAATGTATTACACATAACCTTGGTGAAATTACCAACCTCCAGGATGGGTTGCTCCAAATGACATGTCAATTTGTTCAATTGTAGGTTGTACTTGAGGAGAATTAAAGTGAACCCCACTGGAATTAATGACAGTTGCAAAAAGAAAAATATTATAATATGCATATCCCAAATCCCACCAGGTGAAAAAATAAATAAAATATGGCAAAATTTGCATTTTGAATGTTTCCCTTCAGATTAAATAGAACTACAGGTGTAAAGGCGACCAAAAATAACATGTAAAAGTTATTTACCTACTGATGTTAAAATACGGACAAATTTTTAAAGCTGTTTTGAAACTTCTTACTCACTTCTTACCACCCTTTAATTCATCCATCCATTGCAATTTGAGTTAGGTTGCAACGTGATAAGGTTTAGTAGTTAGGGGCTGACAATAATAATAATTGTTTATTAATTTAAGGGTTAATATAGTTAATCATACCAGTACTTAAGCTTGACTTTGCTCATACTATAAACTTCAATTATCTGGGTATAGAAAATAAAGTAATATAATTAGTAATTGATCTTCTAGCATTATTGTTATCCAAAAGTAGTTTTGATACCAAACAAACACTGGATGTCACAGTTGGGACAAGTACATGTATACGTTAACTCCACAATAGTTTTCTGACTTTTAACCAAATTATGTTGGATTTTATGTGAAATACAATAAAATAACAATTAGATCTCCACATAAATTGCTTTTTTGTGTATTAAATTTGTCAATTTGTATTTGCATTATTTCAGCCAGTTTTTTTCATAATCTCAATACACTGCGCGTCCCTTAAGGTGACTCGACCCAGTTTTTTTTTTTTTTTTTTTTGGGGTACCATCCTACTTTGAAGCTCTCTGGTATCCCCACATTTACTTTTATCATAAGTCTAACACATAGTTGTCTATTGTTTCTAGTCTGTCATTATACAGCATTCTTGTTCAGCACGCGTGCAATGACCGCACTTGTCTGACTTCTGAATGCTCAACGAGATATGATAATTTAGTATGAGAAAATAGAAGAGATTCCCATCACGAGTTGGTTTAAATTAATTATTATTGGCTTGCATTAAACCTATGAAAAAATGATATTTTTTTAATAGTAAGTAAATTTAGTGTGTAGCACTTCTTGATTTTTTTGCAAAGGCATAAGAAGCACGAGAATTGATTAAAAATTGAGAGTTAAACCTCTATGTATCACGCGATGGGCTGTCTCACTGTACCAAAATTATCATATCTTGGTGAGCTTTCGGAAGTCAGCCAAGTGCGGTCATTGCACGCGTGCTGAACAAGAATGCTGTATAATGACAGACTAGAAACAATAGACAACTCCCAAAGCACAAACTCAACCAAAATGCTAAAAATCTTCAATGTTTACTCAAGTTTGGGCTTATAGAAGATATTGTCACAGTTTTTCAATGACCATGAAATTCAGAATCCGGGTAATTAGTTAATCAGTTGTGGCCCTGAAAAAATTTGAAGGAAAAAAAACTTCGAATTTTTAAGGAAATGCTTTTTTCGTGAGAAGGACTCTTAAACGCTGACAAACGTCAACAAATAGCTAAAACTATAATTTCTATATGTTTGCTTTGCTCGAAATCGCGCGCATTTACAAGACCCTAAAGCTGTTTGCTGACTTGCAAGGACCCATCTGTTATAACGATCCCCAAAATAAAGGGATAAGTCTCATAGTATATTAGATATAATCGTGTATAGTTTGCTTATCATTTTCGCATAAATTATGGCCTAAATTTGGAAACCGCTGAATTTCTTGAATTAGGTCTTTGCGATTTTGGTGAAACTCTCTTCAGTTTAAGGCACTAATGCGCACTATGTGTAGCCGAGAGATTTTCACGAACAAATGCCGGCAACAGCAGATTTTCGACTCAGACCTCAAAGGGGCGTGGCATTATAACCACATGACATTTACTCCGATCGCCAAAAATTTTATGTTATGTTGTAGATTGATCTATATGTTATCCATTCTATGTGTTAGACTTATGATAAAAGTACAGGTGGGGACACCACAGAGCTTCAAAGTAGGATGGTACCCCCCCAAAAAAACTGGGTCGAGTCACCTTAAAATATTAACAAACATGAATGGAAAAATGAAATACATGCACTAAAGGACAGATATAACATAAATAAATAGATAATTGACAAATAATACACAGTCAAAACTGATTTTGTGCCTACTTAGAGCTCTCTGTTTCGAAAAAGTGCGCTAACATATTGCTGACAGATAACCGACAAGTGACCAACAGTTGACCAACAGTCATTCCGACTGTTGGCCACTTGTCAGCCATTTCTCGACTAACTGTCGGCTGTTTGCTGCCAACTGTTGGTGGACAGTTGGCCAACAGACAGCTGCCAGATTTTTGCGGGAATTCTTCTTCAATTTTTCCAATAAACTTAATGCATTAACATGTACATGTATCTTTTGCGGCAATTATATACCTTCAATCTCTGTGTCACCGGATCAAACACCAATCTAATACCATCATTTGGTAGGTTTAAAACTAGGTCCATTGCCAGGGGATTCTGTGAATAAAATCGCAAGAAATGGAACTGTCTCCTGATCAAATTCTTATCGTCCCAAAACTTATACATTGCACCATTTGGTCACAAGACAGTCACGATGTATTAAAACTTAAAAAAACCTGCGCTGGCATTAACAGCAGTGAGAAAAGTGTACACAAATCGATGAAGCAACAAAGCACAGGCTCTACTTATCACGAAAAACCCCTTTTAATAGTTTGGTTCTCGCAATTGGCATTTTCCAAACAACGTTTTTGGCGGGACGATCTGCTTACCGCCTCGCTGTACATCGCTTGCACGGATTTTATAACACGACATTGTCGTTTGAGAATCTGAACGCACTGTGCAACAGGCATTCCTAGAAACCGAAAAAAAAAAAGATGTGTAATTACTCGAGCAAACATAAATTGAGTCAGGATAATTAATTTAAGAGAAAACAACCACTGTGACTTGATCGCCTACGTTGCGACTACACACCTAGTATAAACTCCCATTGCTCGTTTCCAAGTGATCTTTCAGGAACAACTTCAAGATCCAGCATAGTTAAGCTGGGTGCAGATATACAGAAATAAATACTCGCTGTTAAAAGATGAAATCTGCAAATTTCTGCAGATCGCTATGCAAAATTCGACCCTAAATTCATGACATCATTGACGTACATTCGTCGAAGAGATCTTTTTCGTCTTGTTTACGTTGCGTCACGCATATAATGCTGAGAGTTTCAGATGACCCCTTAATCTTGCAGGCTCATCGTTTCAACTTGGTAGCCGCGTCTTGGGGAAATAAATACGACAAAAATGGCGGATGCAGAAGAGGAAATCGAAGCCAATCGCCCCCGTCTAGTTGCAAGCGATTTTGATGCATTCGCCGAAAAGCTCTTAAAACATAATCTACTATTAACTGCACTCGAATTGCATGCCGAATTAGTCGAAGCAGGATTGGAGATTTCTCGTTTGCGTGATTTTTTCTCTAATCCTGGAAACTTCGAACGTCAGTACGTGACCGCAGGAAGTTCCAAGGATGCACTTTCTTCCATACTTCGTAAGTATTTTATTCTCTATCGCTGTGTTATTTTCTGCTCAAGTGTTCTATTTTGTGTTATATTCTAGCTTTCAACTTGTTTTTCTTGTCTCATAAATCTTAGTTCAAGCCCGGAAGTGATAATTTAATAAGGCCTATGCAATATAATATTATGGCCAATATCTCAGCTGTAATTTCTTGTCTTTCATTTTCATTGCAAAGATAGCAGCGCTCATGATGAATTCGTCTACAGTTAAGCCAAACTGGTGTGTCTAATTTCTTTTGAGACCAACAAACCCCACGCATGTATAAATATATTCTAAACAAGATAATTACATGTATGCTTAATAGAACAAGAGAGCTGAAGTGTATCTAACATCACGAAAAAGTAATCGTTGTTAATGGTACGATCAATCCTTATTACTTTGATCGGAAATGTTAAACGCATGATCATTTTAATCTTTTAAATTTTGAGCTTGTTAAAGCATCTTGTGTCATGCGTATTGTGTTGTTGCAGAAAGTATGCTTATTAGTTGTTTCGATACAAGTTTATTCGGTTGACTTGTAAATATTGTTTCAAGTACTTGGCTTAAGGAACGAAGAATATTCACCCGAAATGTTTTCTTGTTCACACGCAAGCTATATATGAAGTGATCAAAATGTTTGTACAATTTCGCTGCTTAAGCTTGTATCAAAACGACTTTGTATCGAAACAACTGGTTACCGAAAATATTCATACTCCAACTATTATATGGAGGGTTTGATTTAGCGAGGGTTTGGGTCTGCTTGAACCCTACTCCCACCCCTCTGGGAATTCCAGTTTAGCTTGCTTCTTACCTTGTAGAATTTTAGCATTTAAGATCCTTCTCCCCCAATGGATTTTTATTGAGTCTTCATGGGTTAGGTGTGGATATCAATTTAATGGATTGTTTATTGGTATATTATTTTTAACAGCTCGCACATCTAGTGTAGCTACCATCGACTCACTAGATGACTACACGCGGTATTCTGATGATGGTGCTAGGGACGCTGATGAAAGAGTCGCAGGTCTGAGAAACTCGTCCTATTCATGGATCATTTGTCTTTTGTTATTAATATTTATTAGTTAATTGTGTTGTATTTCAGTTTTGGAATTTGAGCTGAGAAAGGCTCATGAGACAATCAAAGCTTTAAGAGGTTCCTTGACTGAAGCAACAGGTACATTAATTCTTATACTACTTAATAGTTGTTATACCCCTGACATTGATGATAAAGTGTCTGCATGTATCAGGGGTTTCAATAAGCACCGATGGCTGACGAAATGCATCAGCTAAAACGCGTCGGCTACATGTACCTTGCTCGTAGAGGTCAGCTACTTTCTAGGTTTACACAGAATTTGTTTACATGCAAAAGTACATTTTTGTCATTTGTTCATTGCTTGTACATGTAGGAATTGATTGTGTGACTGATAAATAATATTGAAAGCTACATTTTCTTGAATGAAAGTGCTGAATGCTGAAAATCACATTTTAGGGCTTTGAAATTTCAAAATTTTCTGCGGCAGAATGCACCCCCGAACCCCTCCCCCGAGGAAAAGGGGACTAATGGCCCCTTGTTGATACAGTTGGTTACTCTATTCAAACCTGCTGACTACTTCAATTTTTATTGAAGCCCCTGATGTATGTAGTCTTTCCGTAGCTTCCAAGGCATAGAAAAAAAACAACTAATCAAAACAAAACAAAAAACCTTGCACCTTGCACCTTGTTCTTCGGACGTTAAGCTGTTCTGATATTTGCTTTCCTGAGGTCATTGAATGTGTGTCCTAATGTACAGTATTATTATTATTATTATTATTACTATTATTATTATTATTATTATTATTATTATTATTATTATTATCATTATTATGTTTATTTTTATTTTTATTACAGTGTTTTACAGTTAGTTATAAGCATGCTTGCCTGGTTCTTGACTACTGCACAGGCAGGCAAGGAATTGAACTAATTTACTTGCCTAACAGGAAAATCTAGTTGTCCTGAACTACTAGACAAGCCCTGATAAAGCCTTTGCATAACAGTCTCATTATTTTGCTTGTTTTGCATGTGCAGACACAAAAGTCAAATATGATGATAAGGTCTCATCGGGGGTTACATGTACATTGTTTGGCATAATTTTCATAAATACATTGTATCAAGTAAAACTACGTGTGCAGTAACCTCTTTTTTTTTTTTTTTTTTTTTTTTCCTTTTTCATTAACCATATCCATTTAACTTTTTCAATTTAGAAACTGAGACACCAGTCAATGAAGGAAATAAGGGAGACAGTTCTCAAAATGAACATATATCCAGCGTGGTATGCAGTAAAGAGTTTTTCCCAATTCTGTTGATTGATTGATTGATTGATGTATATTTTTAAACAGTTTTAAAATAATATTCCATTTCCTGTTCAGTGAAGAGGTACACTGTATGAAATAAATGGTCACAGTAGTTTGTTCAATCAATATTATTCCAGCAGGAGTCAGACTTTACAGGTAGATTTTTCTTGATTTTTTAAGACGTTTCAGCATCCACTTCCCCTTAAGCAAAGCGTAATTTTAATACTTTCTTTGCCATGTCATTAACACAACAGAAACGTTTTCAAGGTTTCTTGTTGAGTGTAATGGACCTCAGATCTTTAAGTTGGGGCTTGGGCTATGCAGACACTGGTGATGACCTTCTGCTGTAAGTTACCCTAATGTATCTGCATCTTAGGGGGAAGTGGGGTAGTTAATATTCCCAGGTGATTGGAATTTTTTGGAACATTTGGTCAACAGAAAGCTTAAGGGAATGTGTTCTTGAGCGAGCTGATTTTCACGGAACATCTTTCTTCAATCAGGATTCCTTAAGACCTCATGAAAAGCGTGCCTTGAATTTCCTTGTCAATGAGTACTTGCTGAAGAATGGCTACCGAATGACATCTGTGACTTTTTCTGATGAAAATGCTGACCAGGTATGGATCTCTGCAGTAAAGCAGTCATTAAAATTAATGTTACTGTATAACTCCGTAAATTAATGCAGTTCTGATTATTTTAATCTAACTTTGTTGAGATTGTGGTAAGCTTTTATAAGTACAATGTACATGAAGTTTCTTTTAAAATACTTAGTTTTTGGCTGCTTACAACATGCTAAAAGTAAGAAGACACAAGTCAAGTGAGTAAATTTTTACTTCAAAGCTCTCCGTTAAGATTCCCTAACTCACAATCAGTGATTGTTGCTGTAGAACAATTGTAATGGATTGATAACCTCATGAAATGATTGAAATTCAGTTTGAAGGAGCTGAAGGCATTTGTTTATTCATTCTGTGAGAGAGTGCATATTTTGATTGTTATTCTAGATGTTTATAACTTTTCAGTGAGGTGCAGGTCACGAAGTCATAAAAATAGTCTCCGGGCAAGCTCTCTGGTGGAGGGGGAGTTTTCTCCCCTCCCCGTTGACCCCAGAAAGCTTGCTCACGGGCGGTCATAAAACTGGGCTGAAAACTTCCACTTTCTTTCATCAACTATCACACTGTCAAACTTGTCTTGATAGGATATAATACTTTTTCCCCATTGACTGTGTTCTCGATATCGATTGCTAGTTTTTAGGTATTTCCCATCATGATTGGAAGGGTGCAAACTTGACCAACGTGAGGAAATAGTTCACTGTGCTTTTACGTCTAATACGATAAATTAGTCGCCGCTCAATGGTAGAACCTTAGCTTTTTGCTGAACTGCTTTGTTTTGTAGGATTTTGAAGACTGGGACGATGTTGGTCTGAACACTTCTAAGCCACCAGACTTACTCCATCTCTACAGAGACTATAGCCACCACACTGTCCCAGAAGTCATGTTGGTGTTGAAAGCGGTGAAGGAGGAGAAAGCAAACTTAGAAGCTGAACATGCTAAATTACTTGAGGAGTGCAAGCAACTGCAGGAGGAAATAGGCGAATTACGATATGAGAACCATACACTCAATGAGACCATCGGAAAACTAGAGAGGTGATATGTTGAAAATATTTGATTTGATGATGTGGAGATGAGTTATTACTTTAAAAAGTGAAAGTCTTCTCTTTTTTTGTGAGTTGGCTGTTTGTTGTGTGTGTCCCGCGCTGCTATCTGTTTGTTCACCTACACTGTATAAGGGACTTTGAGGCTCTGTTTACATGGAGGTGGGGGACCCCAGGTAGGTGAGGTAACCAGACCTTTTTCACCGATCCGATATTCTTTCATTACTGTTAATAAATCGTCCTCAAGGTCCAAGGTTATGATCTTAAAAATGCCTTTGACGGTTTTTTTTCTTCTTCTTCTTCATTTGGAAGAGCAAAAGTAGCATTTGCGTGAGTCGGAAAAGGTGAAGTGCAATTCTGAGCTATCGACTACATCACAGCTCTAGGATGAGTGAAGGCACTGTTCGCCAGTAGTGCTGGGTATTCTTTCTTTGAAATTATAGCCCGTGTAGGTGGAGAGATTAGCAGGCGAGTAGTGTAGGTATCCGCGAGAAGATTGGGAGCAAGTCAAATTGTTTCCCTCGCAGCGAACTGCTCGCCCTGTGTGACGAACCTTCCGCCAAGAACGAACCCGAGACGTAACAATTCCGCAAGCTACGCAGGCTATTGAAATGCAGAAAGTAGCAGTGGGGCACATATCGTTAGCTTTCACAATTTTCGATGACTGACTATTCCAGTCCCGTCTAGCGCGGATTATCAAGGATAATCTGCTTTGCTGTGCGTTTAAACATTCGTATCCGTTATTCCTCAATCCCCCGCCCTTGTGCGTATTGGTCCTTCCATGTATTTCAGCCCGTAGTTTGACCATCTATTTTATTTCAACACTATTTTTTTCAGTGAAAGGAAGGAGATGGCTGACATGTCGCAGCAGACGGAATCGGGCACTGAAAGTTTTTTGCAAAACACTGCCATAAGGGCGTCCACTCCAGAACGGATAACAGTTAACAACATGGAATCCACGAGCGAAACTGACGCCAGTTTCCATGGCAACGAAGATACTAACACTTCTCAGAAGAATGAAAGTTTTCATGAAAGCGAGTCACACAGTCCAGCTGGGATCGAAGCGAGCAATAACAGCGTTAGTGGAGAAATTGTAACAGAGCAACCTGGTACTGACAACAGATATCAGATGGAGAACATTTCAGAAAATCCTGCTGATGTCAGTGTTGAATCGACTCAAGAAGAGGTGAGACATTGATGATATTGTCACCGGGGGAAAACACTCAGGAGACGACTTTTAAACCCTGAACTTATTTAATGCGAACATTGTTCATTTCGCCACCCCGTTTAAGACAAGACAACTCATTTCATGGTCTTACTTGTCACGTGAACTTAGCTCCCACGAGTCTTCTGTAGCTTTGAGTGGTAGAGCATCTGGACTAGTAACCAGGTCCCAGTTGTTCAAAAGCTGGATAGCGCTATCCACCGGGTAAATCAAAATCCAGTGGATAAGTGTATGGGAAACCAATTTCACTATCCGCTTGATAGATATTTATTCGCCGGATAGCGCTATCCACCTTTTGAACAACTGGGAGCAGAAGGTCATGGGCTCGACTCCCATTGAAAGTACTCGAATTTCTTCCGAGCAAGCCTGATTAGCCGGCGGGATCGTCCGTGCGAGCAAAGTTTTCTCTGGGTTTAGCAGAGGGGTTGTGAAGCCGTGTGGAGAACTGGAAGGAGACGCTTTGAAATCTTGCCTGCTGGAAGACTATGTTTTTTTTTTTGTTTTTGTTTTTTTGTGTTTTTGTTTGGAAAATGGGCGGAATTCGGTGCTTGCTTCTCGCGGCTATGCCGTGAGAAGGACAGCTTCGCGGCCAAAGCTTTCACACGCGCGAAAACATTTCCGCCAGCTACGCAGACTATTACGGGGGCGCCTCTGTGACTGACTGAAGAATTGAAACATTACGTTTTGGCTACAGAATAACATGAAAGTTATTTTTTAAACTAATTTTGTGGAATTAGCCCCTTTTTTTGGAGATTTATCGTTCATACTCACACATGTAGACCGACCATTGCTGTTCAAGACGCTAAATAGTGTAATTGTAGAACCTTTTTAAGACTAAAGACACCAAAAATCGGACTCTTTTCAGCGGGACATACCCTTTTAGTGCCCTTCGCCCACTCCTCCCTCCCGGGGTAGCACAAGGGCGTATTTGTTTACATATGGGCTCATTTGCAAGCGATTTTACCCATAATATACGTACAGTATCAGTATAAACGGAGTAATTAACAAGCGGTAAAGGATGGTAAAACCGAGTAATCTGCTCAATTTCTAGCTGTTTGCGAGTTATATTCCAGGAAATGTCACTTTTTCAAATCGCTGCAGTTTATGCTGAGTAATGGGTTACGCATTCTTCATTCTTGTAAACGAATTGGCGTTTAGCCCAGAACTTCACCAAAATTATCAAGAATCCCCCTATACTTGATTAAAACCACATAGACGTGGCAAGGTGAAACGGACCCCTCTACCTAGAGTGCGGTGTTTTGAACTTTACTTACTTTACAGTACTTTTAGTATATCTGAAGTGAAAATTTGTTTCTCATTGTTTTCAAATTGTTGTTTCCGCTGTGAAGGGTGAAATCATTCCGGAAAGCCCCATGCCGCCATCTTCTCCTGAAGAAAAGGATGTTGGAAGAAAGGTCGTGTCATCAAGGTATAGTTCTAATTATTATAGATAATAGATAAACATTACAGGTTGAGTCATTTTCGTCCGTAATCTTGAAGAGGACTGTTGCTGACAGTAACTGGCTTTGCGACAAGTCAGTTCCGGTCCGGTAAAGTATACCAGCGTGCGATGTATATCGATATATATATATATTTTTTTCCTTTAATTTTATTTATTTATTTTTTTTTTTTTCACGAAAATACGATTTGTTTAACACGTCAGTGTTTTTATCCCACTTGACCAAAAAAGGTGTTCTCAAGTACAGTCAACTCTTTCTTGTCCCTTTGGGACCGGCACTAAGTGTCCGTCTTAGAGAGGTGTCCGTCTTATAAAGAGTCAAATAAAGGGAGTAAAGAAAGGCAGGGACCAACTCTGTGTGTCCGTTTTACAGAGGTGTCCGTCTTATAGACGTGTCCGCTAAGAGTGATTAGGCTGTATAACAGAGATCTTTTTCTCAGCAGAACGACGTCATCATCCTTCAGAGACAAACTACTGGCCTTCACGCATGTGCAGCTAGACAACAGGTTATCCAATGAGGTACAGCTATAGTCTCGGGTAGAATAAATGTGGGAGTGTTGTAATGCTAAATTACTGTTACTATACCTTTCTCAATCTTTCCTGGGTTGACTAGTTTTCACTCTTGATACAACATGGCAAAAATCGTCATAGTAACTATATTCTAAAATCACGTTTATTTCCTTTTTACCATGATCTTACAAACAATCAATTTTAAAAATAATCACATCTTGATTCGCCCTATTTTTAGTAAGGTAAAACGAATGCAGAAAGTGCAAGCAAAAAGTTAAGGACAAATATTGGTTATGCAACTAAGAAATGCAAAGTTTGAAATAATTAAGAAGCAGAGATTTTGAGTTTGCTGCTGCCTCCACCCCCCTCCCGTGCGGAGGGGGAGAGGGGGACTCCCATATAAAAGTGACGGGCATGCTCGTCGTCTCGCTTTGGGGTGCAAATTGCAGATTTCGTCTCATGTAGGGTGTTTGAGACGGAAAGTCACTATATTTGCCCATTCTGGTATCGCTTAGTACTGTGCATAAAGAAATTTAAAAAAAAATGCCCTGACACTGACCACACAGAAATCTCCCTCAGGGGTCAGTTTAAGCTTGAGCCAAACCTACATTGGTCTCCCTTAGGGGTTCAATTTGAATTTCCCGACTAGCATCCCCGATTCCCGTCACTTTTATATTTGAGTCTCCCCCCCCGCTTAGCCACAAAGAAGAAGAGGAAATGAAAAAACAAACAAATAAACAAACAAAAAGTGTTAACGTTTCGAAATCTGAACGTGTATCAATGATGTTTCGTTTACAGATGCTAATACCATTATCAGCTAATTATTAAATTTCATGTATAACAAACTGTGCCAATGATCAGTTTTTGTTTTTATTTTGGTGTCTTTTTCAAGGTTTGTAAGTTGTCCAATGCAGACGAGAATGCGGTCCTCATTGTTGCACGGTGTTTGCCACATATCGTACCGAATGTCCTGCTTAATAAAAGAGAGGTAAGTGTAAAAATAATATGTATGTTGAACTGCGTCAACTTTCTGACCAACCGGACAAACTGACTCATACTAATTAGTGAAGCGTCTTCTTAATGATGAATGGTTATCAAAAGTCGCATCATAGGTTTTAATGCACATTTTCGAAGACGTGCACTGGGAATAAAAGCTAAGCTGCTTTGAAGAAAGCACAGTACTTTTGTGTTTGTTTGATTGTTTGTTTGTTTGTTTTTCACTACTACTTTGACTGCCGATTGATGACTAAGCTTTAGAGTGGTCCTGAGTGGTCCAGGGTTCGATTCCCAGCCCAACCAACAGTCAGGGCCTTACAATAACTCAGAAGAAAGTACTACCTTTGCTTCACATCTGCGGGTAGTAAATAGTTAGACGTTCTAATCTTATGGGGTCAAAACGAAAACCCATGCGCTCTTCGTGATGGTGCATTTGTTTGCACACACACCGCATGCATGCGTCATAATCGAGCTTATCGTTAGTTCAACCCCGTTAAAATTCAAACAGTATGGCTTCTAGCCTGCTTCGCAGACGTTATCTCATCCCGGTTAGTAAAGTCTGCGAAGCAGCGCCGATATCCCTGTTCTGGCTCCACAGCGGACTCAATGAATTACCGGAAATGCGTGTCGAATTTCCCTTCAACCTGGTTGGCAAATTTACAATCGCTTTTTTTAAACTGGCCAATCATGGCGCGTATTTAAATTCCGGTACATACAGGTGGGGGCCCAGAACGATCCCAGAACGAGAATCTCGGCGCTGTTTTGCGGACGGACTTTACCAGAACGGTTTAGATTCGTCTGTGACGCATGCTGTGTGGCTGCCTGTGTTATCCGTTAAGAGCTAAGTATTAAGTTTCGTTTGTTGGTAAAATGGTATTTTTTTGCTTTAGGAGTTGATTCCAGTGATTTTGTGTTCTGCAATCCACCATCCAGAAGCTAAAGAAAGAGACAACCTTCTTCATATGTTGTTTAATCTTATCAAAAGACCCGATGAGGACCAAAGGTCGGGCGTAAAAAATTTATTATTATTGATCTCATTATCATTATCATTATCATTAGTCTCTAACAACACTTACGCTACAAAATTTACATCCAATACCTTACAATTACAATACCTTACGATACAGTACATTGCATTACATTCCTGCCGCAAAAAACAGAATACAATAAAATGCAAGTCTCATTTTGAAGTATAATATTAAAATTATCTTTTCTAAAGCGAGGGAAAATTTCCAAGGAGAGAAAGATGTGCATAAAATACTTCCTTTGCGCTGAGTAGATGTCTTTCTAAACGATTTGGGTTAAGGTGATTCCCTGGTTTTGCACTGCGCATCTCTTACTGCGCATAACAAGATGGCCTCCGTAAAAAAGAGCATGTGAAGTAACATTATTAAAATGAAGTTGACCGAAGAGAAACGCTATTGCAATTTTTGCTTGCGGTTGTTTCTTGCCGAGGTGAGACTCGATGTGGTGGGAGTGTGCATAACGTAAGCAGTAAGCGTGTTGCTGAGTTCGACTTCCTCACGGAGAACCTCTATAGTGGATGTTAGTGCTTATTCACTTTGATTTTCATTTAAACGCTTTCTTTATCACATTGTGTCCTAAATGTGATATCTCGATGTTAATTCTGTAAAAACGGATATTTTTAATACTTTCTTCCCCCTTTCGCATACATTCTATTTTGAAACTCGCCCCAGTCCTCTCTCAAAAATCAAGGAAAATGCATTTGGCGCGCACTTTCTGCAGCTCTACCACAAAAACAAGTACGGTGACCCCCATTTTTTATTTCATGATTTTAATAAGGACAGTGCTTCCTTTCGGTGAGAAAAAAATTGGCACAAATCTATGTTCAGTTTTTTGGCAATTTTACTAAATTGTACGGATTGAGCTATCGCTTGTCGAATAATGCGTGTCCAATTTAATTCTACTTTGGAGCCTAAAGTAAAAACAAGGGCATTAAAAGGCATTTTTCTGGTACGTAAGTGGATAAACAATACATTAAAGTCAAATTCTTTGCCATACCACATGCATCATTGAAAATATCTTTCCTTTTTGTCTAGTTTTGGGCTTCGCGCGGTTTTTGTTAAAGGGTCCAAAATAGCCGTATTTGTCAGCATTGTGACGTCAAAACGAGCACGGTGACCCTCACTTTTTATAACCTTTTTATCATCTTCTTGACGTGTTACATCAGTGTACCAAGTTTCATCTACAATCTATGTTAGGTTCTTTTACTAGGGAATCACCTTAAACACTACAGGCAAATTAAATGAAAAAGAATACACTTTATTGTAGCTCCAGTCACGTACTACTTTACTATAACGACTGATTTCGATTAGCATTATTTAACTTAGTTTATAGAGCGCTGTACCCGTATCGCAAAAGCGGGATTCGAACCCCGGCTAACTTCTTTTTTTAGGCTTTCATTTTGCAACTGTGCAATTTGCGTCTTTGACTGCGATGATCTTCTTTGCAGTAATTTTTTTACTCCGCGGTTTCAAGACATGAAATTGATGTATTCATAATTTTAACTTAGTTTCTGTTGTTGTTTTTAGACAGATGATTATGAGTGGCTGCGCTGCGTTTGCGCAAGTCGTAGATCCAACACGAGTCGAGGCTGAACTTTTACCACAATGGTGGGAACAGGTGATCATGCTATTAAGGTTGCCTTGGCAGATGGTCATTGGTAATTGTGCATTGGGCATTTGGGCATACAGAATTTTGCGAACCACCAAACAATAGATTCCCAGGGCGGAGTGCCCAAAACAACCTTTACTGAATCAACTATATCTAACGTATGGGATGTGTACTGACTGTTTTCGTTTTTACACTGTTTGCCTTTTGTTGTAGATCGGCCACAAATATATGGAAAGAAGACTTCTTGTCGCAGAATCTTGCGGTGGACTAGCGCCTTATTTGCCGGTACACTAAACCGTATTTTGTGCTAACATGGCCGTGTTCTCACTGATGAATCGTGTTAAGAGTAGGAATCCTTACAGTGACCAGACTTACCAGGCCACGCGTTGCCTAGAACAAGATGGAAGCACACTTTTCTGAACTAGTGCTTTTCTTCCTTCGCATTTCAATGCGCTTCGGTTTACTCTGGTCTCAGGGCGAAACGCATTTCGTTATTCTAGAAAGTGTCACTTTTAGGTCACAAGAGGTCGCTGTAGTGATAATAATTTTGCATAAACGTTTGCTCGCAATCGGAGGTTAGACGGTATTTTTTGTGCCAGCACTGGGATACCATTTCTTAAAACTGCTTGACCTTTAAATCTGGCTTGTATTTTATTATTTGCTTTGTGATGGAACCCTAGTATGTCAACACGTGCCTTCTGTTTTTCTGTGTCCTTGGCGGATTAGCTCAGTAGGTAGAGCCCTTGACTGTAGAGCAGGAGGTCGCAGGTTCGATTTCCCTGGCCGGACCAACACTCGGGGTCTTAAACATGACTATAACTGACAACTGAAGGTATTGCCTTTGCTCTGCAAACGGCTAAACCTTTGTGTAACTCGGATGAGCACGTGAAGTGGTACTCCCATGTAAAAAAAAAATATATTGTCCCCAATTAGTACTTTCGTGTTTAATACATTGACACGCAAATAAAGAGCTTTATTTATTTATTTATTTATTTATTTATTTATTTTGTGTCCGTAGGACGATATTCGCAGTTCTTTGGTTTGGTCCATGTTGAAGCAGATGCTTAGTGACGATCGAAACGAGGCGGTACGAGAGGCTGTTACCAAGAGCCTGGCACTTGTTGTTGCTTTTATTGAAAATGTGGATAAGTATGAACAGGTAGGACGGACGTATATATTTCGACTTTGAGCAAATATGATGTTTAATACGGAGCAACGAAAGTTACTTTCGCCGCTATCAAAATGGTGTTTAAGTCCCTTAAAATTAATCAGCATTACATTTCTCTTGTTATATCTATGATTTATAAAACAGAGTGGTCACGAACGAAAATGTAAAAGAAAGAAAGAAACGTGGCGTAGAAGTCGCGCATGGTCCTCCACACACTGTACAGTAAAAATGTTGGGTGAATGTTTGAACTCACTCCAACCGGTCCAACAAGGTGTTCAAACGTTAACTTGAACCCAGCGTGTTGCATCCAATATTGCCGGATCAAGTTGGACCAACAAATTAGACCTGTTTTGAAACGGCGTAAGAATTGTTTTGCGACAGCCTGGTGTTCCCACTTGGTCATGAACAAGCCTTTTTTTTATGCCGCTAGAAAAAAAATTAAGACCTCGAGCCTCACACGTGCGGAATCTGGTGATCCTGGGTGAAGTATAATAATGTTAACCGCGGCAGGATTAGCTCAATCGGTAGAGCGCTTGACTGCAGCTGGCAGATCGGAAGGTCGCAGGTTCGATTCCCGGGACCTCGTCAATACTCAAGGTCTGGGGAATGAGGTAATGCCTTTGCCATGCAAACGGCTGAAGCTTTGTGTGGCTCGGATGGCCACGTAAAATGGCGGTCCTGTCTCTATTAGGAGACGTAAAATAGTGTCCCCAATTAGTACTTTCGTGCTAGATACTTTGACACTCAAATAAAGTGCATGTAAGTGCATATTGCTCATTAGCATTAGATTCGATGCACTTACACCTTAAGGTCAGTGTTATAAGGGCCTTAGAAAAGAAATTCAACAAGATTTACAGCTGTAAATTAATTTCTATTACATGGAAATGCTACATCGGTTTTGTTATCTCCTAGGCATACGAACTCCTCGTGGACACGCTGTTTGATTCTTCGGAGAAAGTAGCAAAAACCTCGATTGAGGTGTTTCTCCCATCGCTCGCTAGTTGGTCTCAGGATCTTGGGAAGTTAGAGTCCCATCTTCTTACATCGCTTATGTGTAACATGGAAAATACTATCAGGGTAAGCCTTCAATTTACAAGAGTATCGTAATGTATAGATTGGTAGCATTCCCTCAGGATTGTCTCGTGGACGATAACCTGTTCCAGGTGTTCAGATGGTAGATCGCAGCGTTTAGATGGTGGAGGGCGAGCTAAATTGTAAAAAACGAGGGGAGAATGCGGTACGTGGACAAGCATGCTACCTGCGTTTGCGTTGCTCGCTTGCACGTAGCATGCTCGCCGGCACGACAATCTTACCCTTTTATCCCATGAGTGATCATCATCAATTCTCTCCTGAAAATATCAGTGCATAATCAATAGAAGAAGCTATGAGAATTAATTAAATGATTATTTAAGGGGATATGCTATTATCTTTCAAATCAAAATTCTCTCAGCTAATTCTTTAAGGAAAGGTATGGAGATCAGTCTGAATAATTTGTAGGTGGATATTTGGCGTTAAAGGGTTAAGAGACTGCTAGTGGTCTACCTAACGTAAATTAAAAAAAAAAAAAAAAAAAAAAAAAAAAGAAAAGAAAAAATAATAGTTAGAAACTTCTTCTGTTATTTCCTGCGAATAAAATGATTGTACCCGAAAAGGTTTTTAGGGGAAGTATGGTTTTATCTGGAAATACCTTTTAATGTATGAATAAAACAAAATACTGGTTTTTCGTAGGATTACCATCAGGTAGAGGAATTATCTGCAGAATCGGAAGACATAGAGAAAGTTTACACTACACTAGAGACCATCCAAAAGAGGCTTCCCAGAAGTATTCAGGTCGTTACCACACTTATTCCCGCGCTTTTTGCAACAGTTCTACGGTCAGGTAAACTTAAGATTGTCAATAATTTTGTCGCCTCAACGTTACGATAAGCTGCCTGCAGAGCTGAAAAATCACTCTTTTTCAGTCACCTCTTCCACCCCTCTCCTTTAATTCGGAAGGCTGCCATTCTTACAGGAGATACAGTTGTTTCCCCCCAAGTTTACAATCAATAGACCTTATTCACGATACCCGCCATCTTTGCACGCCCTTAAGGACTGATGGGATAAAAGTGATGTCAGGTGGATTCTCAGAGGGCAAACAAGTGAGAAAATCTGTCAGTATAAGAAAGCAGGCTCGAGTATTTCCATTATAGACATCAGGAAATTAATAACTGTTTATGTAAAAGACGCTAATGGTAAATTATGGGTGAAAGTGATCATTGTTACATTTTTTTGGATGCAGTAGCGACCGTACATGTCCTCAAAGCAGGTAATAATGACGTAAAAAATTGTCGAAACTCGAACTGTACATTTTGCAAGAGTAAAATCGTCGTCTCGTTGTGAAAGAATGAACAAACTTGACCGCGATTACTCGTATAGGCAATTTTATTCCGTCTTTGCCTCCTAAAATACCACGTGACATTGTCTTTATCCCATCAATCCTAAAGCGCTACAAAGAAGGCGGGTATCGTGAATAAGGTATATTGTTTATATGTAAAGTGCAAAGCAGCCGTAATTTTTGTGTTGGCGCATAAGACTTGTGTGATCTCGCGTCTCCTCTCGCGTACCGCTAGCCTGTTCCAAGCGTTCAGATAGTGGAGAGCGGTGCGAAGTAAAGAAAAAACGATGAAAAGTAGAGGGGGACTACTTCGCACCGCTCCCCACTATCTGAACGCCTGGAACAGGCTAGCGTACCGCTTGCACGTGAATTTTCACGATATATTCCAGATGGAGGGCTTACTCTCTGGCTAAAGTTGTTTTTGTTGTTGAAGCTGACTGTTTTTGGCAGAATATTTTCTTATGGGTACTTGCATGTCATTATGTAATCTAAGAAGTGATATTATGCGTCACTGCTATACCCACTCTTGTAGTTGACCTATTCCTCTTCCTTGGAACGAGCCGACACTATCATGTTCACTTTCCGATGAAACACGCACACCGTTCTAGCCTTCTCCTCGTTATTAATTCCCAAGTGCCAGTCAATAATACAATTTCTTTTTTCACAGTTTGACTCTTCCCCTATCTTCCGCGACTAATCTTGTATCGTTTGTTTTTATTGCTTCTTCATCTCTCCAGCACCATTCGCCAAGAATCCAGGACACGTCGAACGCTACAACGTTCCAGGTATAAGGAACTACAGTGCCGTAACTTCAATATGATGTCCAGCGATCGCAAAGCTTAGAGCCTAGCGTTGGCTGGTTAAAGGGCTTGCACATCCTTTGTTTTATATCGTTTTAGTTTTCTTTTTTTTTTTCCGTCACACTTCCGAAGGCTGCTTGCGGGTTTTAGCGACAATTTTGTGTGGGATGGTATGATACTCTCTTAGATTCGCTAGCCGGTATCATTATCACCCTACCATATCTGTAGTTTTGAATGGGTTGCAGGGGTTCATGGATGTTTTGACGATAATTTGTTGATCTAAGATCGATCAGCTTCCTTTATTTAAATATTCTGTGTATTCTTTGTCGTTTGATGGGATGTTTTGGTGCTACAGAACGAGATTTGTGGACTTCTGTCTCTCTTAAAGACGCACTGATCTTCTGTTTAATGTATATGTCTAGATACCTATATAATTCACCTTACAATTAAAAACACTAGTTAAGACCACAAGTTTGTTTGGCCACTGTGATACCTCTTCCCCCATTTCGAGTGCGTTAACTGTCGAATTGAACGGGACAGAGTTTATACGAATATAAAATCTTACTGTCGTAACCCTTAATCTCCACTAAATTGTACCCTGACGATTGTTTGTTTGTTTTGGGTTATTTTAGTTTCATCAGAAAGATTTGCGGCGGCCGTGTCACCATTAACCAATATTGAGACAATTTTTGGTGGGAGCCAAGCCGTCGCATACCATGTGCGCCGATTTGATAAGCACGTGTCGGAAGATCAGTTTGAATCATGGGAGAGTTTGTCTTGGATCCATTATGAATGGTAAGTAGTTTTAGTTACATTTAATCAGGTATAAATGGGGAGAAATTTCACTTAGTGGAGCCTCCATGTGCGATCACCCAGCGGAAACACCAAAATTTTCTAATCTTGCTAAAGCCTTAGAGTGAAAGTGAGTTAAAAACTCTCTTACATTGTCATATACAAAAAGAACTACTGATAAATTCCATCTTTTAATTTGGCATTTTTTTGCCATTTCCTGATTTTATCTATCCATACCAGGATATAAGGTTTTCTTTCCTCATTATTTTTCTCTTTTTATGTATTTATTTATTTCTATTTTTATTTTCAGTCTTCCCAATCTCTGTAAAATTGTAGGTAAGTTCAGCAGACATGACAGATTTGTTGTGCATTTTTTTTTCCTTCTTTCTCCCTTTCGTGTTCCCTTGCTTTCTTTCCATCGTTGTTGTTGTTTTCTGTTTCTTCTCTTCCTCCCTCTCGCTTCTTCTTCTCGTCCTTTTTCCCTTTCTTTTGTTGTTCGGCTTGGTTGCTGTTCTTAATCACCTTTCTTTTGGTTGTAGGAAATATCCCTGTGACCATGACAGAATCTGTACAGCAATGTATTTCACTCTTCCGTGCACTGTGTATAACATGTGGAAAACCATATACCTCAAAAAAGGTACTACCATATCCTTTATAAAGCAAATTTGACATAAGCAAATAACGCTAAATTCCTCCATCTAGTGATGGCTATTAACCATACTCTATTAGACAATGTACATGTACAGGTGTATATTGCATTGAAACGAGGCTAAGACATACCACACACACCAATTAGGTGGTTTCCTTGGGTCTCTTTTTACTGGATATATGCCCCTGGCCTCCAGAACGTATTTTGTCTATTAAGACGAAAACAAAATAGAGCTATGTAAAATTTCTTGTGGAGAGGTGTCACCCGAATGGTCACATCTCAGGATTTCATCCAATCTCAAAGGTTACAGACTCTACACTGGACTGTATTACCCACATGGCATACCAAAAGAAAAAGGGAAAGGGAGAAAATGGGCTCAATAACTTTTAGTTCTATAGACTACCGGTTGTACATGGTTTCTTTCACAGATAAAACCGTTTTGCATGGATAGACTCAACGTACTTACCATAAACGACGGTGAGTGCTATTGGAAAATACGTTGCTACACTGTAGTGTCTCGTAAACCTTATCATAAGACATTTTCGTTGTTGTTGTTTCTTTTTATTTTACATTTCTTTACTGCTTTGGTTTCAGAAAGAAGAGAAGCTTTATTATCCAGTGCCTCCCTCCCTGTCTTAGCCGCTGGAGTTCTTGGTTGCTTTGACTCGGTAAAATGAAACAGGCAGATATAAAAATGAAAACCCGGCATTGTGTTTCATTAGTGCTATATTTGTCCTTTACTTTTGTCATATTTGCCCTTCGCTTATATCACATTTGTTCTTCATTTTTGTCATATTTGTCCTTCACTCATGTCATATTCAGCAGTTATTGAATGAGGCTGAGTAGAATGTGGAGAGTTATGCAGATCGAGGAGGATCTTATCCACCTTGGCCTTCGGCGCAGCCTCAGTGTATGAACGACATCCTCAGAGTCCGAGACGTTATTCTTCACTCATGTCATATTTGTCTTTCAGTTATATCACATTATATAATTTATTTTGTCCTTCACACATGTCTCATTTGTCCTTCACTTAAGTCACATTAATGTCCTTTATTTATGTCATATTTGTTCTTCATTTATGCTATATTTGTGCTTCGCAATGTCTTTTATGTCCTTATTCGTTCTTCACTTATGCTATATTTCTCCTTATTAGGAAGAAGACATGTCTGACTTAACGTCATTATTACACAATTCAGTTATTGCATTAGCGGAGGCCTCGGTACCAGTTGATGGCCCTGTCATAATGTTCCAGGAATTAAGGTGAATGTTTGTGTCTCTGGTGATTTTCCTTGGGCTCTGCATAACTTTGCATTCCTTGCAGAACTTGTGTGAGATCGTAAAATTCTAGTTATGTTCCGTGTAAATCCTGCATTCGAAATGGCTAACGTGCTTGCTTTTAGACTGATATTAATAAATACTTGGTAGAAATCACTTCGAACTGCTCTTAAATTTTCAATTTTCTTGATTGCTATTAGCTTTGATGACTTAGTCAGGACTCAATCCCACGTCTACTACATGTATCTGCTTATAAATCCAGAGGTCTTCTTCTAACAGGCCTTTTGCAGCTATTCATTCACGTGGTACAAAAACCCCCACGCTGCAAAGTAACATACGTACTGGAAGAATTGAGCTCTTTGTTTTTCTTCTCCTAATGTGTCCCTTGCTCTCAAAGGCAGTTTTGTACCACGTGGATGAATAGCCTCAAAGGGCCCATTGTGTTATTAAAAGAGGTGGGCCTACCGTGTGGCACCATAGTCGGCACTGAATTTTTGCGGGTTCTACTTTTTGCGATTTTTTCAACGATCCGCCAAAATAAGTTCCCGCAAATAAGAATTATCGCAAACATTCTTCCCGCAAAAATTTACTCCATAGTAAATATTCCCTAACTTAAATTCGCTACACAGAACTACAATACTAAGAAATCAGAAACAAAGAGGTATACAATGAAATACTGGTTTTATTGTAGTATTGTTTGAAAATGTGTATTTCTGCATGTTACAAGTACTCAATAAAAACGAAAATATTACCAATGCTGGATACTGGGTACTTTGTGAAAATCGCAAAAATTAATTCCTCGCAAGAAAAACCAGTCTGTCCTAATCTCGAAAATTAGTTCCCGCAAAACACAGAAAATCGCCAATCCGCAAAATTAAACTCCCGCAAAAATTTCGTACCACACGGTAATCTGTGCATTGAGTGTGTCCCAAAATAAAGTGTAGAACTCGGGAAAAATGTGTTGTTGTTAATTTAGTTTTTGTTGGTCTTATCTGTTTTCTAATTAACCTCGATTCCTGTTTCAGTTCTTCATCCCGTTATCATCAGCTTTTGATTGGCGTTTTATGGCAAATCGTCGTCAACTCAGAGGCAATTGTCCGCAGCTCAGCAGCACCATTATTTACAGTAGGTTTCATCATGGAGTGCATTGTACATCATGATAAATGAATGAATGAGTCAATAAAAAAATATCACCAGAATTTGTTTTACTAAGCACTCTTTCAAATCACACCCCCCTGGAATAATTAAAAATAACAATAAAAATGCTATTTGTTACAAGTAACATAGGAGGCCATACAGCATGAGTTTAACCTTTTATATGTCCAACCCTGCCTCTGTTATCGATAAAGTCAAGATGATGCGATCTTGCGAAGCGAGGATCGTCATTGTGCTGACCTATTGTTGTTATTTTCAGGTTTTAATCAAAGGTGTTGACCTTGATTTAATTAGCAGACAGGTTTTACCAGCACTAGTCACATTGGCTTCAGATTCACAAATGTAAGTTCAGTCTTTCGAGAGTAAACGAGCCAGCATTTTTGTATAGTTGAACTTTGTGGCAGTAGAATGTCATCAGTTTCTGATGCGAGATTCTGGCTATGTTACCTATGACAGTTAAGTGTGTGTGTGTGTGTGTGTTTTTTTTTCTTTTTTTTTTTTAATTTTGAATGGCATTGCAGGTCAGTACGGACAGCTTCAATCCCTGCATTTGCTGCCATAGTAGAGAACGTTACCGATAAAACAGTAAGTGATAAATCAAGTTTTTTGTATGTTATGTTTGTTGTTGATGGTATTTTTTTCCTTGAAAGTTCTAACCGCATTATCACGCTTTCTTTTGCTTTAAGGTTAAAAGTTTCTAAATGCTGCATACATTTTTTCCCTTCAACAAACATTAGTTAGTAATTAAAATGTGCAATGGTTATGAATACTATCAGACGTCTCTTTTTATGTTTCTGTTAGCTTTTACAGACTTCATAACCAGTTTCCTTTGCTAACTATGAACAAACTATCAGTCAATAAATAAATCGATCAATCAATCACTTAGTCTGTCAACCAATCAAGACCTAGATTTAACAATCCAAATCAATAAGAAATGCTCTTGAATACAAATCAATAAGAAAAAGCTCTTCCCAAAGGTCGTGCAAATTTTTCAAAGTTACAAGTGTATGGAAGTTGGAGATTACATACAGTATTCAAAGCTAAATACCAATACCTAATGTAGAAGGTGAGATAACCAAGGCCCCGTCCACATGCATCCGTTTTTATTTCAAAACGGATATTTTTTTGTCTCCGGTTTGGCCTACCGTCTACACGTATCCGGTGAAAACGGTCACCGAAAACGCATTTTTCCAAAAACGCTCTCCACTGTTAAGAGTTTTTAAAACGCTGGCCACTCGATTACATGTGGACGAACATCATTTTCTACTAGCATTACGCGTGCTCTTTGAGGGATGCTATCGTATTTTTTATTGTTTAACGTTTTCCTAAAGACGAGCGAAACGATGTAAATACGGTACGTGTGGGCGTGTTTTTTTGTTGTTGTTGTTTTTTTTTTTTTTTTTAACGGAGGAAAAGAATTCTCGTTTTTAAAAATTATCGGATAGGTATGGAGGGGCTCTAAGCCTTCAAGTGCTTGAAAACAGTCAAACTAATTGCCTGCTTGGCTCGCGGGTGAGGCTCCCTTACTTTTCATTCTCTTTTGCAGATTTTAGAGAAAGTTTACGTGCAATTCCAGTCATTTTTGGAAGATCCGCAATACAAAGATCAACACGAACTGCAGACCACAATGATTCGAACTTTTGGTAAAGTCGCACCCCACGCGGAGCCGCATTTCAGGGATGAAGGTACATGTGCCGAGTAATTCAGGGGGCTTACCCTTCAATTTACATCATTTGCAATCTAAGAAAGTAATGAGAGCTTCAGGTTTGATGGTCTTTTCCCCTTTATCGTGTTTTTTTTTGTTGTTGTTGTTGTTTTTGTTGTTTGCTGGTTGCCCAGTAGTGATTTTTTTTCCTGGTGTGTTATTACCCGTTTGATAGGGAATTTTATTTCCTTATTTTTTCTTAGTTCTCTTGCCACGGTTGGTGATGATGGCGACGATAAACAACCAGTTACAAGACGAAGACAGGCGAAGAGAGATTGCGCTTGAACTAATGGAAGCTTACGTGTCATTGACATGCTGCTGTATCTTTTGCTGACTTCATTTCAACTTTTTCTCTAATTGTTTACACCGAATTTCCATCTTAATTTCGCCTACTCTTTTTGTAATAAACGTTTTACTTCGAGAGAAACAATTGACCTTACTAGCAGAAAGGCAACAAAAATGAAATGTATCGTTAAAACAAGCGCCTTTTAGCAACGGTTCTAATTTCTTAGAACCGAGAATCCAGAAAAAAAGACGCCTATAGTTGCAAGGAACGTATTTCGTAAATTACTCTTGACAACGTATTGTCTCGTGAAAAAAGCTACTGGATGCTCGTAGCCTCGAATAAGTGACCTTTTTGAAACAAAAAAAAACAAAACAAGACAAACAAAAAAAAGCAAACCATGTTTTACGCTTTGTTGTTGTTGTTGTTTTTTTTTTTCTTAACCTACCTCGGTCATTTCCATCGACGTTTTAAATGAATATATTATCCCTGGACTGCGTGCTGTCAAGCAAGATATCGAGACATTAGCTCCCGACTCTGAGGTTAGAATCATCTCTTGGTTCAAAAGTTATTTCAAGATTCTCTAGTAGTATGGATGATTCTTACTAGTTAACGTGTGTGCTATGGCTGCTTACCTCTGGCTTACTGCCTTTAATTTGATTTATAATATTATTTATTACTTTTACGTACTTATTCATACATATATCGACTGCTGGCCAACTTCCAATTTGCAAGAATCACCAATTATTGTGATGGAGGCAAATAATTGTTCGATAGATAGACAGACAGACAGACAGACAGACAGACAGACAGACAGACCGACAGATAGATAGATACTTCATAAGAATAAGGAACGTAACGAGATTTTAACCTCAATACCCTGCATGAGGCTGATGATTTAAGATAACAAGTGAAGAAAATCTGTAAAATCTGCAATTCTGTTTTCTTTTGTAAAGGAAACTGTTCTTGTACTTCTCAAGGAATGTGAAACCAAAGTTGATCAAAAATCATTTGCAAAGTAAGTGTAGATGCAACTGTTGTTATTTTTTATTTATTTATTTGTTTCTTTTTTGTTGGTGTTGTTTTGTTTTCGATTGTCAGATTTTTTTACATACTAAAAATTATCAGGCACTAAAAGCTTGCTTCGTTTTCTTTTTTATGACAGCTTTCCAGCGAGCAGTAAGATAGGGCAAGAGCTAAAAAGCACATTCATGAGTGGCTTTCACAAATTAAAGGATGCCCCAAGACCAAAAATGGCGGACATTTTCAAAAAGAAAGATCGTTTTGATTCATGACGTACGTGCGTTGAACGTGCTGATGAAGTTCCAAAGAAACCAGTCAGCAGTACGCGATCAACCGCGCATGCCCGACGGCAGGTCTCGATACACCAACGACAGTAATAAGGAGGTCCTGACTCGGACATTAGTAGTATTGTAGGGACCGAATTACCGAATTATCCTTTTGTGTGGAGGAATTTCTTTTTTTCCTTTCTTTCTTTTTTTTGGTGGAGGAATGTATTAACGGTTATGACTTCATAGCCTTTTGTCTTTCTGTCATGAATAAAATGCGGTGGGATCTCCTTAAAATTAGTTAAGTCACGTGCTATTTTTATACGGTTTAACCGGCTAGACAGGTTGTTTAGTTATTTCAGGTCGATGAATGTCTTGGTTTATGATTGGTTGACTTAAAACTTAGAAACGTATTCATTGTTTGATTCATGTTGTTTAGCCAACCAATCAAAAACCAAGACATTCATCGACTTTAAAAATGACTAAACAACCTGTGTAGCCGGTTAAAGGCCCAAAAAATGCACGTGACTGTATCTTAACGGGATTATCCTGCGTTTTATCCCTGAGATGAAGACAAAAAGCTATGACTTCATTGGCGATAATGTTTTCCTCCGAAAAGTAACAAATTTCCTCGATAAAAAGGGATAGTTCTTTCCCTGCTAGACTACTGACATTCGACTTGGTGCAACAACAGAAACATCAGTCTTTATTAGGGAGATACAAAGGATAATTTCAAAGCATGCAGTGACAACAAGACCAATTTGCCTACAGCCTCAGGTGTCAAAGATAAACACTCACACACTTGCCTGAAAAGTTGACATTTCGCGACACTACCAACGGTTTGCTCGCGAAATGACGTCTGAGTAACGACTGCAGAAATTCCATACTTATGATGTATCGTTACACTGATCTGAGTTGTGCTTCTGATTGGTTGAAAATTTACTTTACTGTTTGTCGCGTCGCAAAATATCGGCTGTCTTGTCGGGCTAGACAAGCATCACCTCATGCAAACTATACGCTCAAAAGTTAAAGGAAAAATTATAAATACTAAAATAGTGAAAGTTAAAGAAGCCCGCTGAATGGTTTATGGAAGCTTTTACTTAGATACTGTTTATTAAGTTGGTAAAATAGTAGTGCAATTTTTTTATTTAGGTACAATGCGTCAATGGAAGGATGGTAAATTTAACGGATTATTTTGTATATTCACGAATGTAAATAGAACCAATTTGGCAGTGATACAATAAATATAATTCCCGTCGTATTAAACTGGTTTGATTCAGAAACTGATTGACTCAGTTTAAAAATCCTTAGAACCTACACTGTCCCAGGTTAGCCCAAACACCTTCTTACATAAAATTGGCACAAATAAAGGCTAATTGTACCTCTTGAATGGGTTCTTATTTCCGGAAAATTATTTTGTATATTCACCAGCCAAGAATCTTGAAAGTATCTGAAATCTGGGTAATAAAACGTGTTTGGTGGTCTTTGAATTACACTAAGTCCTCTAGGGTCTTCAAATACTCACGCGATCCTTGAAGCTCTAACCAATTCGGTCAATTATTTTACATTAAAATCTTAACGTATTTTAACCCATTCGCCCCTGAACCGCCTGTAACCGCCCGTGCGCAGGGCGGATAAAGGTTGGGCGGTGAAACGAGCGCGTCCGAGCAAAAAGGTGTGATGCAGTGGACTGGGACTATGCTTACAAATGTCGCTTGTTTTCGACTTCGGTCAGGGCTTGCGATGTGGTTTGTACATTAGTCACTGCCGCTGTCACTGAATTATGGCAGCTTGATTTGTTTCCTTGCACTTCTTCCTCGTTCCTTTGTGCTGGTACACTGTCTCCGAGAGGCAAATGTTGCTATTTTTTTGCGGGAGGTTTAGTTGGAGGAGACAAACATCTTTTTCAAAGGGTTTCTTTTATTACTTCCATGACTCTACCACTGAATTATATTTTCGTTCTGCTACTCGCCAAATCGCGCCAATGTGGATGTTATTCCAAAACAAAAACAACTAAGTATTGTCTAAAACACGAAGGAAAATCTCATCCATGTCATCAATGGCAAAACTAAAAGACAGCAGATCGTGTGTTTCATAACTAGATGACGTGTATTTTATAAATGCGTGCAGCTCGTGCAAGGTGAAATTATGGTAATTTCAATCACCATCCTTCTTTTTAATTTTGAAAAAAACATCTCATACGTCTTTCTGTTTCTTCGAAACTTCAAAATTAGTTTCCCCTCAGATTTTACTGTTTACCTTGTTTTGTTTTAGAGAGAAAAACGGAGAAAAGACCTTACAACTAACCTCAATAAATTTTGTTTACATGCGGTTGCCGGATTTGCAACGCATTGCTCGAATCGCCATGGCGCGTTGCACCTGAGAAGCAAAGTTTGAAGAACTACAACGCCACTATATCAATATATATCAATCTAATTTTTTGTTATGTTATATAAAATTTATCCCCCTTTAACATATGTAAAAATTGAGGTTAAGAAGTGTTAAGCTTTTACAGACGAAACGGCGAAAGACGATTAGGTGATATTTAGTGGAAGGAGGAGGTATTCAACACTTTCAAATTAAACTCAAATTTTGGCATTATACGACCAACAAGTTTGACTTATAGACGTACAGACACAAACATATGAAACTGTTTATTGATATTGTTATGAAACGAATTTATCTATTTAACATTGTAGTCTGAAATTACAGAAAGAAAATAGGATTTCCGGTTTGCAAAGAGGAAAATTTCGCCTGCCTTCAAGCGCACCGGAAGCGCGGAAAGAGCGCTCGTGCCAGTCCTACTCCGCATCACACATTAAATGAAGAGCGGAGCGCTCGTTTCACCGCCCAACATTTATCCGCCCTGCCCGTGCGGATCCACGTCCTTTCTACCCTTTGTGACGTCATCAGTTTTAACGGTCAAGGACAACTTTGTCTACTAACTTGTGCAGAGTGAAGAAATCTTTCAAACCATACCAGAATGAGCACAATTCAATCAAGGACACCGGAGAAAGAAGCAAAAAACTATGTGACATTGACCAGAAAATCTCCATGAAAATCTTGTTCCATTGCTCACCTACCTTTCCTTTCACCTAATCCTAAGATCGTAAAAGCTTTCCTAAAAACTCTTCCCACCAAAACGAAGCCTACTAAATGCCCAGCAAGATAAAAAAAATGAGGCAAGAAAAGCGAAAAAAGAGGGGAGGAGAGAAAGCGAAAAGTAAAAGTCAAGACTGCTGAGTTACTTTTAAACCCCAAAACTATCTCGAAATTTGCTTTCTGCGCATGCCCGAACTTCGCAAGCTGATATTTTGCATCTGGATCAGAAGGCCGCGAAGTATACGACCTCTGAACCTGTTTGTGGTAAGTTTTAACTCTTTATAGCACGACAGTGACCAGAAAACCACTCGACTAGCTTCAAAACGCGTTTTTTGGCAAAATCTCTAGGAGCGAATGGGTTAAAATATATTTGTAAAGGTTTTTCTTTCTTTGATATAATCCCAAGACTTGAGACTAATGAAAAACAACTATTAAAGTATATATTAACTACGTGTAGGTAATTTTTGGCTAGAAACGCAAAGCGTTTACATTGAGGGGCTGGAGTGAAGGGATGAAATGTGAAGACCGAGGCTCTTCCCACATAATGCAGCACACGTGATCCAAGTTCAGTCAGTGATTGACAAATGGTGTCTACGCTTTATGCTACCATTAGACGGAGTCGATACTACAGCAGTCTCAAGGCAGAATTCACGGGTGGTTGTAAAACGCTTATCTAATATAATTGGTTAATTGTAGGACAATACTCGTCACGTTACCGCATGAATAACCAGTGGAAATGGAATTTTGGTCTCAGCTGCGGAGGGAGGAAATACGACTTCCCTTAAAACGCCTCCTCGTCTCCGTGGGAGGCCAGGTACAATTAAATATTCTACTAATGTTAGACAGCCTACTTTGACTCAAATAGTTATATTACTCCTTGTCAATTCACGAAACGTTTATCAAGATAAGTGCAAAACAGGTCCGAGGCATATTATTTCGGCGTTTCTTTCATTCCGACATTTGATATTATCGCAGCTCACTCAATAATCCATTTCCGGTCAATGAACCAATTTGCCAATTTTCGATGCGCAATTGCTTTTGTGCCTTTTAGGAATGACCGTCTCACCTCGGGGAGCAGGCGTCACAAGACTGGCAAGCAAACAGTTATTGCTCAATATTGCTCTCCGTTTCACGAAAGAAGCTCGCTTCGGCAAAGACAATTGTTAGCAAGCAAGAAAGTCGAGCCTATTAACTGTTCTGCCCACATCTGGGTTGACTGCCATTTGTGACTTTTAAAACAGCAACTTAAAACAATCAGGGGCACCCAACGACCCAGTGTTTCCAAATACGCCAGATGGTTTTCTCTATGGTTTAGAAGGCTGTCTGGTTAATTTGGAGTTGTCCTAAAAACTATTTATCTTCGGATGTCTCACGGGAACTTTCAAGTAGCTTTTTCGTCTTATCGGAACGTGTTGGCTACCCTTATGGGTCCTGGCGAAAGTTCGAGGATATGATCGCAGAAGTAGCCTTACTTTAGTTTGAAAACTATAGGGAACGTTTTGTCTTTATATCGAAAGTTTTCGGAGACCTTTTTTAACAATAACCGCAATATCTTAGTATTGAAATGTGAATAATACAACCTCCGAAAATCGTAGTTAAGCTAAAACCTCCGAATATTTTAGACGAATGGAACGGTTATCCAGAAATTTTTAGCTTTTCTCTAGCTTTAGAAATTTCTAGCTAATATTTGCTCCTTCGAACAGTTATTTTACAGGTAAAAGTGGCTGGGTGTCCCTGAACAATCCTTTGTTGTCTACACACATATCTGTTAAGACTATTCGCATGTGGACTAATCCAGTCACTTCAAGAAGACTAGTAAGATGCTAACTTTTCTTTCTTTTTTTTTTTTTCAATTGTTTTTTTAATTTTTTCTCCATCACTGCGTATGCTTTTCTCTGAATCCTGTAACTATATTTCTTATGACTTAGGCAGATCAAGCTAAGCAGGCACAAACGGAGCGCTCCCTGGAACTGTGCCTAAGGTACATGCGAGAAAAGTCATTTTATCTGGTAAATTCGAAGACAATAATTATGCTCTCCATCCAGGCTCCATTTATTAACACTTCTTCATAAAATCACATTATTGAAGACAGAAAAGGAAGTTTACTTCAGAGTTAATAAAATGCAACGGTTATGAAGCCCGACATTTGATGTTTAAATCGATCTTTATTCTACCTAGT